GATAGGTCATTCCCCGGTTTAGTGGCCTTTCTATATACTGCCATGATAGGTCATTCCTGGGTTTAGTGGCCATTCTGTATACTGCCATGATAGGTCATTCCCCGGTTTAGTGGCCATTCTGATTACTGCCATGATAGGTCATTCCCCGGTTTAGTGGCCATTCTGTAAACTGCCATGATAGGTCATTCCCCGGTTTAGTGGCCTTTCTATATACTGCCATGATAGGTCATTCCTGGGTTTAGTGGCCATTCTGTATACTGCCATGATAGGTCATTCCCCGGTTTAGTGGCCATTCTGTATACTGCCATGATAGGTCATTCCTGGGTTTAGTGGCCATTCTGTATACTGCCATGATAGGTCATTCCTGGGTTTAGTGGCCATTCAGTATACTGCCATGATAGGTCATTCCTGGGTTTAGTGGCCATTCTGTATACTGCCATGATAGGTCATTCCTGGATTTAGTGGCCATTCAGTATACTGCCATGATAGGTCATTCCTGGGTTTAGTGGCCATTCTGTATACTGCCATGATAGGTCATTCCTGGATTTAGTGGCCATTCAGTATACTGCCATGATAGGTCATTCCCCGGTTTAGTGGCCATTCTGTAAACTGCCATGATAGGTCATCCCCCGGTTTAGTGGCCTTTCTATATACTGCCATGATAGGTCATTCCCCGGTTTAGTGGCCATTCTGATTACTGCCATGATAGGTCATTCCCCAGTTTAGTGGCCATTCTGATTACTGCCATGATAGGTCATCCCCCGATTTAGTGGCCATTCTAATTACTGCCATGATAGGTCATTCCCCGGTTTAGTGGCCTTTCTATATACTGCCATGATAGGTCATTCCCCGGTTTAGTGGCCATTCTGATTACTGCCATGATAGGTCATTCCCCGATTTAGTGGCCATTCTGATTACTGCCATGATAGGTCATTCCTGGGTTTAGTGGCCTTTCAGTATACTGCCATGGTAGGTCATTCCCCGGTTTAGTTGCCATTCTGTAAACTGCCATGATAGGTCATCCCCCCGGTTTAGTGGCCATTCTGATTACTGTCATGGTAGGTCATTCCCCAGTTTAATGGCCATTCTGTAATCTGCCATGGTAGGTCATTCCCCAATTTAGTGGCCATTCTGTATACTGCCATGATAGGTCATTCCCCGGTTTAGTGGCCTTTCTATATACTGCCATGATAGGTCATTCCCCGGTTTAGTGGCCATTCTGATTACTGCCATGATAGGTCATTCCCCAGTTTAGTGGCCATTCTGATTACTGCCATGATAGGTCATCCCCCGATTTAGTGGCCATTCTAATTACTGCCATGATAGGTCATTCCCCGGTTTAGTGGCCTTTCTATATACTGCCATGATAGGTCATTCCCCGGTTTAGTGGCCATTCTGATTACTGCCATGATAGGTCATTCCTGGGTTTAGTGGCCATTCTGTATACTGCCATGATAGGTCATTCCCCGGTTTAGTGGCCATTCTGATTACTGTCATAGTAGGTCATTCCTGGGTTTAGTGGCCATTCTGTCTACTGCCATGATAGGTCATTCCCCAGTTTAGTGGCCATTCTGTATACTGCCATGATAGGTCATTCCCCGGTTTAGTGGCCATTCTGATTACTGTCATGGTAGGTCATTCCCCGGTTTAGTGGCCATTCTGTATGCTGGCCATGTGAGGTTATCCCCCAGCCCAGGTCATTGTGTGTTATCACCAGAGCAGAACTTCTCTCCACCTCCGGAAATGTGGGGATTCCCTCCGCCCCCTGAACGGGGAATACCTGATAGTGAATGCCCGGACCTCTCTGTGCTCTCAGTTACATTGTTTAAGGAAGTGAGGCGTAGCAGGTGTTGGGCATTGGGGCATAGAGAAATTAAACCGACTCACGTATTGAACATGTTATGTGTTTATATGAAACCTAGAGGCTGTTCACAAACCAGTGCGTCGTGGGACATTAGGAAACAATTTGCCAAATTCAAACCGGATTAGCAGAGATGCCAGAGATTTCCAGTTTGGGTGACTGGGACATTTGATGGATTCTTGGCCTTTTTAGGGAATAATCTTGGTTTTATATAAACAGCAAATCTTTATTTGAAATGCTCTGTGGCCCCCTCCACAGTGGGATCAGGACGTTTTACAATCAGTTACTGATAGCAGATTCTGAATACATTACAATATGTCCAATACTGGGGGTGGGGGGAGGGTGATTTAAATATGAGTGAAATGTAAAGCTAACTCGCAGCTGATTTTATTCTCACTGCACTATATAGCAGTAATAACATTTAGGAAATATAAAACAGGCTGAATATTGTAGTTTCTGATTTCCTTAGTAATGTAATTCCAAAATGCAGCTTAGTTATGCAGGCTGCACCCCCCAATTCCGAAAGTTGCTAATTTGGGATTTTGGCCACTCGGGGGCTAGAGTTGCTACATGCCATAATCTTGCCATGGGGACCGAGGGCACTTGGTGATTCACAGGGACATTTCTGTCAGCGCAGTGAGTAACGAGGGGGGGACCCTTATTATTCTATTACTAGGGGTCTATGATTTGTACTGCAGCCTGTGGTTTGGGCGAAACTGAAAGTGTTTTACTTTTCACATAAAATGAACATTTTCTGTATTTTATCAATATATTTAGGGTATATCAGCCCATGCTGATGTAAAACTGAGATATTAAAAGACACTGGAAATTTTATTCTGATTTAAAACAAAAAAATGACAGTACTGAGCGAGTGTAAACTCCGATGAGTAACGTTTAAATCTAAATGATTTGTTTAACAAATGTATTATGTGTGACGCACGATTCGGGCTATGGTTATAATCACATTGCGTCGACCTCTAATCCAGTGCAGGGCTACGTTACCCGATCTGTCAGCACGCGGCGACTATGACCTGCGTATTTCACAGTGCAAAAGATTTCGTTTTCTTCCCCGTTAGAGAGCCAGAGATTAGTGGGGATTCAGTATAAATGTGGTACTATAGTAATCAATCAATATTAGGCATGATCCAAATTATCAGCTTTTTACATGTGACGTGCACAGTATGTGTGAGATATTAAAATGTGTAATTCGATCACTGATAATTCACTGAAAGAAACCAATGCCTGATAAAACTCCAAAGTGGCCAAAATAGGATTCTGGAGCATGTCCTATTTGTCCCATTTTAATGCCTTGTTTCATGTTCCAACTCTCTGTTACTGCCCTGTTTTAATGTTTGTCCTAAGATCTAGCTGAGATTTCAGATAGTTCGTTGGTCACTTACTGATTTCCCCTACCACAGATCTTTCCTATCGGTCACTTAACCAAATCTTAATCATAAATAAAACGATGGTTTATTAATGTTGTGCAAACAGACAGTTCTTGGCTGTTAATGATAATTATTAAATTCAATAAAGTTCGCTATCTTTGCTGCCAGCTATCTATAACAATGATGTCACTAATTAGTCATCAATACAAAGCATTGTAAAGGCAGCAGTGGATTTCCCAGGCAGTGATTCACTGGGGATTCCTGTTGTGTTAGAGACGTACGTAGTGCAGTCCAGCCCCCACATTCACCACTTCTCCTTATTGTGTGCAGTCTCCGCACACGCCTCATACTGACTGTCTCGCAGATGACACACGAGTGTGAGAGCGGCGTAGCTCTGACAGACAGTGCATCCCGCATGTGGAATGATTCGAGTCTCGTAGTGTGAAGACCAAGCGATACCCACAACGGTCTGGTGATGCTCAATGCCAGCGGCGCACAATGCAAATTACTAGGAAAGCAAGGTTAGTTAACAATGGGTTATTCATTAATTGTTAATATTAGAAACTGTAACAAAGTGACAGGGACTGAATCATTGAAAACCACCTGGAACTTGGATTAACCTTTCATCTTGTGATGCTCCATTCTCTTTTAAAATGATATTAAAGATTTATAATGACATCACAATCCAGTTCCAGTCAGGGTACGCATCGCATCGGAAGAAACGAAATAGAAACATTTTCTCTCTATACTGACTGCCAGGTGTAAAGGGCGGAGCTTATAACAATGATTGACAGGGAGCTAAGATGGAGGCGGCTCTCTCTATACTGACTGCCGGGTGTAAAGGGCGGAGCTTATAACAATGATTGACAGGGAGCTAAGATGGAGGCGGCTCTCTCTATACTGACTGCCAGGTGTAAAGGGCGGAGCTTATAACAATGATTGACAGGGAGCTAAGATGGAAGCGGCTCTCTCTATACTGATGTGATGTCATCCAATAGAACTGTCAGTACTTGAAGGGTTACGCCAACCACCATGACCACTTATGCTCTTTTAAGTGGTTATGGTGGTTGGAATCTGTATGTAAAGAATTTCTGCGTGAAACATACAGAGATATTTGCACGTTTGCACTAGGGACTAGTTACAAAAAATGATGTTTGTTACCTGTGTGACTGCGCGCTCAGAACAGACGTTATCACCTTCCACTCTTGTAGGCTGCGCAGGGAGCTCACATTCCTAATATTGGTGCTTTATTATTTTTATTCCCCTCCGCCTTCCTTGTGCACACCTGTCTCCAGCCATCCCCGTCCCGGCTCAGAGTGCTCAGAGTGCGAGTATGTTTGTTTTTTATTTGTAATTCTGAATTCCTCCTGTGGAGACAATAAAAATGATCGATGGTTAGGGCAAGCGAAGACTGACCAAAAGAAGGAAAAAGAAGGAGCAGTAAAAACAATCGATATTTGTTTAATAATATATTATTTAGTTAATAAATATATAATATATAAACATGGACTGTTTTACTCCTCCTTCTGTTTTCCCTCACTTGATCTGTGAACCAAATGGTGACAAAGTGTTTATAGTGTGTACACTGATTGGCCAATTATGGCACCTTGTTTGTTTTGTCCAATTTGTCTTCCAAATCTTTTTTTTTTTTTTTAACTCATTACATACCTCCCAACAGAGAAGGACACTTTAATTGTATGGGTGGAGTGTGATCAGGAGAAATTCTGAGACATTTTAGGTGGCTTACTAATAACAATTAATGCAACTAAAATATAAATTATGACATAAATGTATAATTTATAAAAAGAACAATGTATCTTATTTACACAGACTGATTTCTAAGCACATTTACTGTAGTTTAAAGATACATTACTGGGAGTATTATTGCTGTGGAGCTCTGTTATACACTCAGACACATTACTGGGAGTATTATTGCTGTGGAGCTCTGTTATACACTCAGACACATTACTGGGAGTATTATTACTGTGGAGCTCTTTTATACAGTAAGACACATTACTGGGAGTATTATTGCTGTGGAGCTCTGTTATACACTCAGACACATTACTGGGAATATTATTGCTGGGGAGCTCTGTTATACACTCAGACACATTACTGGGAGTATTATTGCTGTGGAGCTCTGTTATACACTCAGACACATTACTGGGAGTATTATTGCTGTTGAGCTCTGTTATATACCCAGACACATTACTGGGAGTATTATTGCTGTGGAGCTCTGTTATACACTCAGACACATTACTGGGAGTATTATTGCTGTGGAGCTCTGTTATACACTCACACATTAGTGGGAGTATTATTACTGTGGAGCTCTGTTATACACTCACACATTACTGGGAGTATTATTACTGTGGAGCTCTGTTATACACTCAGACACATTACTGGGAGTATTATTGCTGTGGAGCTCTGTTACACACTCAGACACATTACTGGGAGTATTATCGCTGTGGAGCTCTGTTATACACTCAGACACATTACTGGGAGTATTATTGCTGTGGAACTCTGTTATACACTCACACACATTACTGGGAGTATTATTGCTGTGGAGCTCTGTTATACACTCAGGCACATTACTGGGAGTATTATTGCTGTGGGCTCTGTTATACACTCAGACACATTACTGGGAGTATTATTACTGTGGGGCTCTGTTATACACTCAGACACATTACTGGGAGTATTATTGCTGTGTGGCTCTGTTATACACTAAGACACATTACTGGGAGTATTATTGCTGTGGAACTCTGTTATACACTCAGACACATTACTGGGAGTATTATTGCTGTGGAGCTCTGTTATACACTCACTCACATTACTGGGAGTATTATTGCTGTGGAGCTCTGTTATACACTCACACACATTACTGGGAGTATTATTGCTGTGGAGCTCTGTTATACACTCACACACATTACTGGGAGTATTATTGCTGTGGAGCTCTGGTATACATTCAGACACATTACTGGGAGTATTATTGCTGTGGAGCTCTGTTATACACTCAGACACATTACTGGGAGTATTATTGCTGTGGAGCTCTGTTATACACTCGGACACATTACTGGGAGTATTATTACTGTGGAGCTCTGTTATACACTCAGACATTACTGGGAGTATTATTGCTGTTGAGCTCTGTTATACACTCAGACACATTACTGGGAGTATTATTGCTGTTGAGCTCTGTTATACACTCAGACACATTACTGGGAGTATTATTGCTGTGGAGCTCTGTTATATACTCAGACACATTACTGGGAGTATTATTGCTGTGGAGCTTTGTTATACACTCAGACACATTACTGGGAGTATTATTGCTGCGGAGCTCTGTTATACACTCAGACACATTACTGGGAGTATTATTGCTGTGGAGCTCTGTGATACACTCAGACACATTACTGGGAGTATTATTGCTGTTACTGGGAGTATTATTGCTGTGGAGCTCTGTTATACACTCGGACACATTACTGGGAGTATTATTGCTGTGGAGCTCTGTTATACACTCAGACACATTACTGGTATTATTGCTATCTGTTATACACTCAGACACATTACTGGGAGTGCTGTGGAGCTCTGTTATACACTCGACACATTACTGGGAGTATTATTGCTGTGGAGCTCTGTTATACACTCAGACACATTACTGCTGTGGAGCTCTGTTATTAGACACATTACTGCTGTGGAGCTCTGTTATACACTCAGACACATTACTGGGAGTATTATTGCTGTGGAGCTCTGTTATACACTCAGACACATTACTGGGAGTATTATTGCTGTGGAGCTCTGTTATGCACTCAGACACATTACTGGGAGTATTATTGCTGTGGAGCTATTATTATACTCAGACACACACTACTGAGTATTATTGCTGTGGAGCTCTGTTATTATACTCAGACACATTACTGGGAGTATTATTGCTGTGGAGCTCTGTTAAGCTCTGTTATACACTCAGACCCAGTATTATTGCTGGGAGTATTATTGCTGTGGAGCTCTGTTATACACTCAGACACATTACTGGGAGTATTATTGCTGTGGAGCTCTGTTATACACTCAGACACATTACTGGGAGTATTATTGCTATGGTGCTCTGTTATACAATCTGACATGGCATTTGGATTAAACAAAAAAAAGAGGAAAAGAGGGACTTGAGCCCAAAATAGTGACTGTCCTTCCAATTCAGGGACACTTGGGAGGTATGTCATTGTGTTATTTTTTTTTATTTTTTTTTAAAGATTCATGGAACTGACTTTCTGCCAAAATGGTAGAATCTAATACAAGAGTAAAGTATTCTACTGAATACATTGTTTGCAAGAGATAAAACAGTTTTATAAGTAAGCAATGGGGAAAAAAAATCACAGAATTAGTTAATTGCTGATAATGATAGATTGATAATGAGGGATTGATAAAGGTGGATTAATAATGATGGATTAATAATGAGGGTTAATAGCAATTGATTAATAATGAAGGGTTTATAACAAGGGGTTAAAAACAATGGATTAATAACGAGGGGTTAATAACAATGGATTAATAATGAGGGGTTAATAATGGGGGGTTAATAACGGGTTAATGATGAGGGGTTAATAACGAGGGGTTAATAACGAAAGATTAAGAACGATGGATTAATAACGAGTGGTTTATAATGAGGGGTTAATAACGAGGCATTAATAACGATGGATTAATAACGAGGGGTTAATAAAGATGGGTTAATAACGATAAATTAATAATGAGGGGTTAATAACGAGGGGCTAATAACAATGGATTAATAACGAGGGGTTAATAATAAGGGGTTAATAATGAGAGATTAATAATGATGACTTAATAACGAGGGGTTAATAACGAGGGGTTAATAATAAGGGGTTAAGAACAAGGGATTAATAACGGATTAATAACGATGGATTAATAATGAGGGATTAATAACGAGAGGTTAATAACAATGGATTAATAACGAGGGTTAATAATAAGGGGTTAATAACGAGGGGACTTAATAACGATGGAGTCATAATTAAGGAGTGATCCTGTTTTCTTTTTTCATATGGTTTACTTTTAACATCCATGTTTGACTTTTGATAATTCCCAGCCAGATCTAGCGCTTTTTAATCGACTGATAAGGATATTATTTGCTAATTACCCATATTTTCTGTTCTCCAGACTGCAGGTCGTACTATCCTCCTCCCCAAACCGTCAAGGAATTGCTAAAGCACAAACGCAAGACAAACCAGGTAACATTTAGGGATATGGGGGTCGGGTCTTTCCTCTTTTCCAACTTGACACAGACCTGTTTATTTACTAAAATATGAATTGTACGGAATTCAAAGTGAATCATTTTAGGTCAAAATAACTGAATTTTATCAATTTGGCTATTTCAGATTAGAGATTTTCCCATACGTTTATCCTTAAGCATAGGAAATGGTAAAAAAAAAATAAAATAATAATAATTTACTATTAATGAGCTGCAGACCTGCAGTGGATTGAAATTCCATCAGACAATAGCTGAAGCCTTGCTGACTTGTAGAATATTCCAAGTATAGTGATCGTGGCCTAAAATGTGAAACTTACTTTGAATGATTGATAATTGTGAATAGCCCTGTCTCTGCATGGAATACACTCTTTGCGATATGATCGTTAGCTGATTACAGACAGCCAAGTTACAGTATATGTAAATAGAATTATTTAAAACATGTTATTTTAAGCATGGACACGTTTTGTTTATTCACTCTATTCACCCCAACATTGCTGAATTGTCTCAATTTATTTTGCAGGTTTCTCCACCTCTCCGAGAGTTTAACCAAGATTCAGGTTGGTAGGGGCGATGTTTACCGTCTTTCTCACTTTATATTTTATTCATTAATCATATCACGATTGGTACTTTCTGCTTCCTATCTTCCTTTTACCCATTACATATAACTGGCTCAGACCCAGCGAGGCCCAACTCCATGCATATTACATTAGTGTCTCTGGAGAACTGCCCGACTTACCAACAGAAAATAAACACTTTAACTCTTTCCAGGCTATGCTGCATCTCTGGGGTATATTTTATCAGTTATTTTAGGGAAAGTATGTCTTTCAGCTCAATCTCCAGCTTCCCGTGATACAGGAACTAATATCACAGAGTAGGGTTTACCAGCTAGACCACAGCAGCAAGATCTAACAGAGAATGTCTACTTACATTAAGCAACACTGGCATTTATTTAAAGACATACTTCCTTTTTAACTGAGAGATGTTTCCCAAACCAGTTCTCAAGACCCACCAACAGTCCAGGTTTTGTCAGCATCTCTATTGGAATAAAACAAGAAAATACATAAATCCTGGATTGTTGGTGGGCCATGTGGACTGGTTTGGGCACCACTGGTCTAGAAAGCTATAAAACAATGGCAAACCATTTAAACTGTTGATTGAGAGAGTGTTTTCTTGTTTTTGTTGGAAGAGCTCAGTCCTTAAAGTTCTGTCTTTTTAAAGGTGCCAGTAGTTCCACCTCATTTGCCCACCATCCTGCCAGCCAACAAGATGCCACTCAGCTATACACGAGACCTACACCCCAATATCCATACACTGTTCCTGAAAGTTATTACACCCCAGGAACAGGGGTCCTGTTTGGTCAAAATGAGGCATTCGAAAGAACCAGCAACGAAACACAAAGCCTGGACACAAGTCTTGGGGTAAGATGTTTGGGCAGATTGTTCTTATGGTTTTGAAACTAAAGAACAGGCAGATCCCCAGATGAATTCTGTATCTGCATTTGAATTTATAATAGCATCAAATTGTTTAAGGGAATCAGAATTGGATTTTATTAATTAGTTGAATTCTCTCATGTATTCACGAGATGTCCATGAATATCTCCAGGTGAGCTAAAGTCTACAAGGTGCAGTTTCCCCGTCCATTTAACCGCAATGTAAAACAATGATGTTTTTTAGAAACTGCTACATTGCAGGCTTAGGTCCACCTCTATGAGGAGCATTGGATTTGACATTGGCAGAAGATGCCATGCCTCTTCTGTGATTTTGCAGGAAGTGGTGAGGTGAGCAGAGCAGAGGCAGGCTTGGGAAAAGGTGAGTAAATCTTTTAAAACACCTGGTGCAGGGTTCTGAAAACAAATAGGGGCCGGGACACTATTGCATTAAGAATATAGATTTGTCAGATTTGTCATATTTCTTTTAAAAGAATAGCAAGAAAGGACAGCCTAAAGTTCCTAAAGCAGCAGTAAGGTTCTCATCTGGCAAAGCAATGTAAGAGTTGTAATTCGGAAACGGCTACACTGTCTCTTAGAGTCACTGCATAGAATGTACTTTTAGGACTAATGACTGCTCACATCCTTTCTTTACAGCCAGACTCCGTGTCACCTGGAACCTACATGTCCACCTTTCCCCATGCCCCCTCCTGGCTGGGGCACCACGCAGGGCTTGGGCCAGAGTCCGGATCGGAGTATTTCCTGAGGATGGCGGGCTGTGTAGTCCCTGACATGATTCCAATGGATCTGGAAGAGGCAAGAGCCGAAATTCAAAATGTGAGCCTTGAACAGCTCCTGCGTGGGGACGAGGATGGAGATACGTGAGTGTTGGGAAGGGAGGATATAGATCAGTCAGCTGCCTACAAATCTTTCCTATTCTAAGACATTATTCCCTTTAGCTGTGATTAAGACCCACATTATATGCATCGTAAACAGAGAAAGGATTGGGCAGGATATTGCTTTGCTGCGGGTTGATTTAGATAGATTGGGGGACTGGGCAGATTAAATTTAATGTAGAAAAATGCAAAGTCATGCACTTCTGGTAAAGAATGCACAAGCAACTTACATCCTAAATGGTAGTGAATTAGGGATAACACATGAGAAGGACTTGGGAATTGTTATAGACAACAAACTATGCAACAATGTGCAATGTCAATCAGCAGTGGCTAAGGCCAGTAAGGTTTTGTCATGCATTAAAAAGGGCATTCATTCTCGGGATGAAAATATCACATTGCCTGTTTATAAATCGCTGGTAAACCACATATTGAATATGCTGTGCAATTTTGGGCAACTGTTCTAAAGAAGGATATTATGGCACTAGAAAAGGTGCAGAGGTGGGCTAAAAAATTAATAAAAGGAATGGAACATATCGGCTATGAAGAAAGGTTAACAAATTTAAACCTATTTAGTTTAGAAAAACGTCGCCTGAGAGGGGATATGATAACATTATACAAATATATTCGGGGCCAATACAAACCATTGTGTGGAAATCTATTCACAAACCGGACTTTACATAGGACACGAGGCCATGCGTTTAGACTGGAAGAAAGAAGATTTTGCCTAAGGCAAAGGAAAGGTTTTTTACAATAAGGTCTTATCAGAGTCTATACAATAAATACTTGCAAAAACATAATATACAGGGATACACTTTTTACTTAGTGGGTAATACCGTGTTGATCCAATGAGATCCAATGACTGCCATTCTGGGGTCAAGAAGGATTTTATTTTCTAATTCGTTGCAAAACTGGAAGTGCTTCAAATTGTTTTTATTTTTACCTTATTTTGGATCAACAGCAAAAACCTGTGTGAGGAAGGCTGAACTTGTCTCTTTTTAGCCTATGTGACTATGTAATAAAGATGTATCTCAATGGAGCCTTTGGCATGTGACCACATTAATATCACTACATTCTGCCACTGACACATTGTATTCCTCTGGCATGTGGCGAGGCCCCCTACATGCCATGGCTGTAAGTTAGTAAGCTGGTTGCCTAGTGGTCAGACTGTCCCGAGAATGTGGTAATTTCTTACTGATGTTCTCCCACTTGCAGGATCCTACATATTTATGTGGCAAAAGGCCTAAGGAGTTTGTCATACGCGGTGGCAGAACGTTACCAGCAGTACAGCCAGCTCGACGCCAAGGAGCACAATGGGAAGGTAATGGACTGAAGGAAACTTGGCAAAGATGTCAGGCACCACCCAATGCTTTATACCAGAGGAACAATACGTAGGCCCTGTGGACCTCGTCCTTCCATTACATTCATTGCATTAACCCTTCGCAATATGCACCCTACATGTCCAGCTGCCTCACAGCCGAAGGGGGTGCTAGAATCTGCCACAAATCTGTCTCTCTCTGGTTATACAGGGATCCATGCTGGTTTTCATTTTAATTTTGGACCATTCACAGATTTTATTGGCAATACGGGGCTCATTCCTTACATCAGCGAGCATTCGTCACTGAAAGGGTGACATTCTGTAGTCTGTTTGGAAACTGTCAGGACTGTGCAATGTGAGCGAATCGGAAAGTTCTTAGATTTCAGAACATTCTTATATCCTCACTATCACAGACCAGGAAGTAGACGCACGTAAATTGCGCTATTTGGAAACATTGTGCAGGCTCCTACCTCGTTCTTGTGACATTCAGCCACAAACGGAAACTTTCTGAGCTTTTAGCGGTGGCTTCCTCTCACAGATCCATTACACGCTGAATAATATATCCGTGTGACAGGGGCCGGTGATAAAGGGTTTATTCACTAAATTATAAATTATGGTCCCCTAACGGCTGAGCTGTAATCAGAACCTGAGCTGAAAATCATCCCCAGATCTGACTTTGTGAAATTACAAAATAACCAAGAACAGTGTTCATCGAATTCCAGACAAAATAGTGTCTTAGTAGATATTACATGAACCTCACATAAAGACAGCTCGATATATGGGTGTGACAGTTTGGGGTGTAATTCACTATATTGGGGTTAATATGATATAATATAAACTGTAATAATACAATGAGCTGTAATAATACACTGAGCTGCAATAATACAATAATCTGTAATAGTACACTGAGCTGTAATAATACAATAAGCTGTAATAATACACTGAGCTGTAATAATACAATACGCTGCAATAATACACTGAGCTTTTATAATACAATGAGCTGTAATAATACACTGAGCTGCAATAATACAATAAGCTGTAATAATACACTGAGCTGTAATAATACAATAAGCTGTAATAATACACTGAGCTGCAATAATACAATACGCTGCAATAATACAATGAGCTGCAATAATACAATGAGCTGCAATAATACAGTGAGCTGTAATAATACAAGAAGCTGTAATAAAGCAATGAGCTGTAATAACGCAATAAGCTGTAATGATACAATAAGCTGTATTAATACAGTGAACTTTTATAATACATCGAGTTGTAATAATGCAATGAGCTATAATAATATGATACGCTTTAATAATATAAGATTTAATACATTGAGCTATAATGTTACGTTAAGCTTACGTTAAAATAAATTGTAACAACATGATAAACTGTAATAATGAGCTGTTATACTATGAGCTTCCTGTTTGAATGATCTAATCGTTAATTGTTCTGCAGTCTCCCTTGTTGGTCGCTGTAGCAGCCAATCAGCCTCAGATTGTCTATGACCTCATGATGCTTGGAGCAGACGTGAACGCGTCCGACAAGAAAGGGCAGACCGTGCTGCACGTGGCTGGGACATACGGACTGTGTGATGTGTTGAGGGTAAATGCATTATTATTTTTTATAAAGAGTTTATTTATGAGCTGATTCATTAAGCACTATGTAAAATCAATCTTAGTAAATAATGGAAATTGCAACGTGGGGGCAGAAACCCATCGAACGGCAAAAACATATTAAGATTTATTCATTAAACACAGAATTATAGTGAATTGAAACAAAATTGGTCAATTTAGGCAACAAGTGCTAATATGGGTAAACCCTCACTCTAGTCACAGATTGTGTGGATTTCCATTCTTTACATTGGCTGGTATTTCCTGGTGTATCGATGCTGGATGTCTGTTTGTTGCAGAGTGCGTCTCGCTGGTTTCTGATATCCATTAAGAACCCGCATTTTATACTGAAACACTCTCGCTTTCTCTATATTCCAGGTTTTTATGTCTCTTCAGAATCAGCAGAAATTTGACATTGAGGCCAGAAATTATGATGGTAATTTAATCACCAGGAATCTGCCCTTTCTGTGCTGGCACTGGGGGTAACTGGGATTACTGCCCATAATAGGGGTAACTGGGATTACTGCCCATACCGGGGGTAACTGGGATTACTGCCCATACCGGGGGTAACTGGGATTACTGCCCATACTGGGGGTAACTGGGATTACTGCCCATACCTGGGGTAACTGGGATTACTGCCCATAGCAGGGGTAACTGGGATTACTGCCCATAGCAGGGGTAACTGGGATTACTGCCCATACTGGGGGTAACTGGGATTATTGCCCATACTGGGGGTAACTGGGATTATTGCCCATACTGGGGGTAACTGGGATTACTGCCCATACCGGGGGTAACTGGGATTACTGCCCATACCTGGGGTAACTGGGATTACTGCCCATACCTGGGGTAATCTGGGATTACTGCCCATACCGGAGGTAACTGGGATTACTGCCCATACCGGGGGTAACTGGTATTACTGCCCATACCGGGGGTAACTGGTATTACTGCCCATACTGGGGATAACTGGTATTACTGCCCATACCGGGGGTAACTGCCCATATTGGGGTTATCTGGGATTACTGCCCATACCGGAGGTAACTGGGATTACTGCCCATACCGGGGGTAACTGAGATTACTGCCCATACTGGGGATAACTGGTATTACTGCCCATACCGGGGGTAACTGGTATTACTGCCCTTACCGGGGGTAACTGGGATTACTGCCCATATTGGGGTTATCTGGGATTACTGCCCATACCGGAGGTAACTGGGATTACTGCCCATACTGGGGGTAACTGGGATTACTGCCCATACCGGGGGTAACTGGTATTACTGCCCTTACCGGGGGTAACTGGGATTACTGCCCATATTGGGGTAACTGGGATTACTGCCCATACTGGGGGTAACTGGGATTACTGCCCATACCAGGGGTAACTGGGTACATACTGGGGGTAACTGGGATTAGTGCCCATACTGGAGGTAACTGGGATTAGTGCCCATACCAGGGGTAACTGGATACATACTGGGGTTAGTGCCCATACTGGAGGTAACTGAGATTAGTGCCCATACCGGGGGTAACTGGGTACATACCGGGGGTAACTGGGATTAGTGCCCATACTGGAGGTAACTGGGATTAGTGCCCATACCAGGGGTAACAGGGTACATACCGGGGATAACTGGGAGTAGTGCCCATACTGGAGGTAACTGGGATTAGTGCCCATACCAGGGGTAACTGGATACATACTGGGGTTAGTGCCCATACTGGAGGTAACTGAGATTAGTGCCCATACCGGGGGTAACTGGGTACATACCCGGGGTAACTGGGATTAGTGCCCATACTGGAGGTAACTGGGATTAGTGCCCATACCAGGGGTAACAGGGTACATACCGGGGATAACTGGGAGTAGTGCCCATACTGGAGGTAACTGGGATTACTGCCCATACCGGAGGTAACTGGGATTACTGCCCATACCGGGGTTAACTGGGATTACTGCCCATACTGGGGCTAACTGGGATTACTGCCCATACTGGGGCTAACTGGGATTACTGCCCATACCGGGGGTAACTGGGATTACTGCCCATACTGGAGGTAACTGGGATTACTGCCCATACCGGGGGTAACTGGGATTACTGCCCATACTGGGGGTAACTGGGATTACTGCCCATACTGGGGGTAACTGGGATTACTGCCCATACTGGGGGTTAATGGGATTACTGCCCCATACCAGGGGTAACTGGGTAACAGGGTACATACTGGGGGTAACTGGGATTACTGCCCATACCGGGGGTAACTGGGATTACTGCCCATACTGGGGGTTAATGGGATTACTGCCCCATACCAGGGGTAACTGGGTAACTGGGTACATACTGGGGGTAACTGGGATTAGTGCCCATACTGAAGGTAACTGGGATTAGTGCCCATACCAGGGGTAACTGGGTACATACCGGGGGTAACTGGGATTAGTGCCCATACTGGAGGTAACTGGGATTACTGCCCATACTGGAGGTAACTGGGATTAGTGCCCATACCGGGGGTAACTGGGTACATACCGGGGGTAACTGGGATTACTGCCCATACTGGGGGTAACTGGGATTACTGCCCATACTGGGGGTAACTGGGATTACTGCCCATACCTGGGGTAACTGGGTACATACTGGGGGTAGCTGGGGTTACTGCTGGTATTGATGGTGATTGTTAATTATTCCTGGGGGTAACTGGTTGATTCCACCCGGCAGGTCTGACCCCTCTTCACTGCGCAGTGAATGCCCACAATGCCGCCCACACCAGCCAGATGAGCCAGCCCTCGCCTGAAAGTGAACAGCGAGAACGGGACACCCTGACTTGTATTCAGCTCCTGCTGCAGCTCGGTGCCAGCTGTACCAGCCAGGTGAGAATCTCTCTCTGTGGCACAGCTCAGTGCCAGCTGCCAGTGGAGAACGCCATCCATTATTTGTTGTTCTGTATCGAACGTCCCATTACAGTGAGAGGATAAATCGTGCTGTTTCTCTGCCAATACACAGGGCTGCCCTCTGTGGCACATCACCAGGGGCTATTAGACTGAGCGCCATGTAATCTCTAACTTCCAGGGCAAAAGCTGATAATGTATCGAACGAGCGGAGATACATATATTATCTATAGAACTATAGACTGTCACAGCGAAAACGATAAAATTACTGTTTGATAATTCCAGGGTGTTGTTTATTAGCGCTCTATCGTGAATTTACAATGATTAACTAAAGATCTATTGGGATCTATTACGTTTGGGCTCTGTTGCAATGATTAAATAAAGATCTATTGGGATCTATTACATTTGGGCTCTGTTTCAATGATTAAATAAAGATATTTTGGGATCTATTACGTTTGGGCTCTGTTTCAATGATGTGGATTGCGGGCCAGTTGCTGATCACTATAGATTCTGTCTGTAATCTTAGCGAGTGGCGGCTCCCACCCAGCTGATGTTAACGGTTCCTACTTACCAACTAGTGTCTAACCCTGGCCTCCATTTCATTCAATCTGCTAAAAAAACACAAATAACCTTTGGTGAGTCTGTGGACAAAGGCATGTCTACTCCCGTTAATATCTTTCAAATCGCACCATCCACTGTTCATGGATAGGATCTGGGGATTATCAATAGTTCCCTCCATCTATTACATTAATACCCCCACCCACTGCCCTTTATCCTTATTAACATAGGCATGCGCAGCCTATTGCATTAGGGTGTGCACCCTAAAGCACAAACACACACACACATTTATATATATATATATACACACACATACATACACTGCTGTGTGCTGTGTGTGTAAGGGTGGTGTGTGTGTGTGTGTGGGTGCTGTTAGTATGATGTGTGTGTGAGGGTGCTGGTAGTGTGCTATGTGGGTGAGGGTGTTTGTGTGTGTGTGAGGGTACTGTTAGTGTGCTGTGTGTGAGGGTGCTGTATGTTAGTGTGCTGTGTGAGAGTGCTGTTTGTGTGATGTGTGTGTGAGGGTGCCGTTTGTGTGCTGTGTATGAGTGTCGTGTATTTGTGAGGGTGCTGTTAGTGTGCTGTGTGCGAGGGTGCTGTTTGTGTGTGAGGGTGCTGTTTGTGTGCTGTGTGTGTGAAGATGATGTGTGTGGGTGCTGTTTGTGTGTGGGTGCTGTTTGTGTGCTGTGTGTATGAGGGTACTTTTCTTTAATTATTTTTCATATAGCCTGTATATGTTCTGCGGAATCTGCATTAAACTGTATCTTCCGAACTACTGAACGGATCTGGGTGAATTTTGGAGTTATTGCATGTTTTGGGGTCCCTGTGATATGTTTTATAATACTGCATTTCTCTGCCTGTGATAATTATATTAACTATTGTGTTCAGTAATCATATCACAGGCAGAGGGGAGGATTTTGTGTGGGAGTGTCTGTGTGTATTGTATGGATTGATTGGTTGTATTTCAAAACCCTGTGGGTAGTACTATGTTTGTGAATAAAATAGGCTGTATGTGCCAGTACAGTCAGTTCTTCTTCACCCTCAATTTGGAGCGCCGTCTCTTATTCGAGGAATCTGCTACAAGGGATTGCTATGCTTGTCATACTCGCTTGCTAAATCACTACTAAACTCTTGTAAGAGCTTGTTCCTGTCCTTCTCTCTGAAGGAGTCTACGGTGGTTATGGTGTCAGCTGGAGTGCTGGAAACCCTCAGGAAGCGCTAGGAGCATCCTTCAACGGAGGTACCCAGTCAGGGTGCCCGTCGATCCGTTACATGTATATATATATGTGTGTGTGTATATACATATATAGTGTTCACACACACACTGACACAGACACACACATATATATACGTGTGCACACACATACACAGACACACACATATATATATATATACGCGTGCACACACACATACACTCACAGACACACATAGACAGACACACTCACAAATTATTTTTTTAATTAAAAAATGTCTACCCAGCCTCCCTACCTGGAGAGCTGGCGTGGACATGTTCCTGGGGTGCAGTGGGTCGGGCACCTGTCTTCATATCACACGTGGCGAGGGAGCTGTGTGCTCTCTGCTCCCTCTCGCCGTGCGGGCTGTCTACTGTAGCTGGGAGCCGGAATATGACGTCATACTCCAGCTTCCGTCATCAAACAACGCACGGCGCAAGGGAGCAGAGAGCACACAGCTCCCTCACCGCGTCTGATATGGAGACAGGCGCCCGACGGGGGGGGGCCATCATCTCTTGGCACCCCCATGACAAGAGAATCACGGTGGGGGGGGGGCTGCAGGACTCAATCCATAGGCGTACCGCAGGGATTAGGGTGTGCCCAGGCACACCAGGCACACCCCGTGCGCACGCCCATGCTTATTAATGTAATCAATCCACTTAAATAAAAGGCTTACCATCAGCTGATAAACTTCCAATAAAGAGAAATGTCTCTCATCAATGTGATGCCTTTGTCTCTAAAGTTAAAGGGATACTATTGTCACCAAAACAATTTTAGCTTAATGTAGTAGTTATGGTGTATAGACCATGCCCCAGCAGTCTTACTGCTCAGTTCTCTGCCATTTAGGAATTAAATCTCTTTTGTTTCTGTTTATGCAAAGCTAGCTACACCTCCCCTGGCTGTGACTCACACAGCCTGCATGTAAAAATGGTTTAATTTTCAATCAGATGTTTACTTGCTTTATAAGTTGTTGTTGTTGTTGTTTTCTCCTCCTCTGTAAATGTAACTTTACTTGCACACAAGGCACCTGCAGGCTATTAATAGTGCAAGAGATAAGAAATTCTAAATTAAAGGAACTGTAGATGACTCTTTACGGGAAGTATTTAGGAAGGCTGTGTAGGTCACATGCAGAGAGGTGTGGCTAGGGCAGCATAAATAAAGTGATTTAACTCCTAAGTGGCAGAGAATTGAGCAGTGAGACTGCAGGAGCATAATCTATACACCAAAACTGCTTCATTAAGCTAAAGTTGTTTTGGTGACTACAGTGTTCCTTTAAGCAGCTGCCTTGTGCTTTCAGAATCTAAAATCTCTCTCTACCTGGTGGAAGCATACATAATCAGATATAGAAACATAGAAACATAGAAACATAGAAACATAGAAACATAGAATGTGACGGCAGATAAGAACCATTCGGCCCATCTAGTCTGCCCAATTTTCTAAATACTTTCATTAGTCCCTAGCCTTATCTTATAGTTAGGATAGCCTTATGCCTATCCCACGCATGCTTAAACTCCTTTACTGTGTTAACCTCTACCACTTCAGCTGGAAGGCTATTCCATGCATCCACTACCCTCTCAGTAAAGTAATACTTCCTGATATTATTTTTAAACCTTTGTCCCTCTAATTTAAGACTATGTCCTCTTGTTGTGGTAGTTTTTCTTCTTTTAAATATAGTCTCCTCCTTTACTGTGTTGATTCCCTTTATATATGTAAATGTTTCTATCATATCCCCCCTGTCTCGTCTTTCCTCCAAGCTATACATGTTAAGATCCTTTAACCTTTCCTGGTAAGTTTTATCCCGCAATCCATGAACCAGTTTAGTAGCCCTTCTCTGAACCCTCTCTAAGGTATCAATATCCTTCTGAAGGCATTACATTCCATCCCTAAAGCACATATCAAACCATATTCAATACAGTAATACAATTAAGCAAGAGGGAGAAAAAAATATATATATTTTCCAGGCAAAAATAATAGAATATTTGTTTATGTTATCTTTATTTATGTCTAATTAAAACCATGTGTGTTAGAGAAAGGACGCAATACACAACCCGTGCTGTCACTGACTCCCAGTCTCTCCCGCAGGATATAAAGAGCAATAAGACTGTCATCCATCTGGCTGTGCAAGCTGGGAACATCCCGCTGGTTAAATTCCTCCTGGACCTGCCTCATCCCGACCTTCCTGGGCTCATCAACATGAAGGTGATACTCGTTACTCTCCTGCCAGCACCGTGTGGCATTTTGCTGTTGTTTGGGTCAGTTTATCACTTCCTACTTTCTCTTCCAGGCTCACGGAAACACCGCTCTGCACATGGCAGCAGCCCTTCCCCCGCTGGCGTCCACCGAATACCTCATCCAACTACTGCTGTTCTCAGGAGCTGACCCGAGCACCCGGAACCTGGAGAACGAGCAGCCTGCTCACCTGGTGCCCCCCGGAGAGTTTTCCGAGCAGGTAACCTTACATACATTACCAAAGGTTTGTTTTGGGGAGGGAGGTATTGAGAAGTGATCTGTAGATATGCCCAGAGCTCTAGCGTGGTCTTCTTCTTAGAAAGATGCTTTAATCATTTTTTAAAAAGTAATGCAAAAAAAAAGTACAATTTAATCTAATTGTCAGAATGTAAGTATTCTCACACGGGACTTATCCAGGTTTAGTTTTATTATCACAGCAGCCTCTGGCAAAAAAAACAACCTACGCTGGGGCCCCCAATACTACTTATTATTATTATTATTATTATTATTAGTATTAAAAATTATCTCACCCAGTAGCTTTATATAAAGTGGGAAGCTGCATTTAGCTCTAAATAGCTCTTTATAAGAGGCTGGCATCTAAGCAGTTACAATTTTTGCTTCCACTGCAAAAGACACCCCAGATAGTGACCTTAAAGGGATACTGTAGTGGAAAGCTGTATTCCTGGCACTATCACTCCACCTGCTTCCCCCTCCCTCGCACCCTCCCCCAGGTAAATAAAGAGTTAAAAATCTTTTATTTACTTACCTTACCCCAGCGCCAATGTCCCTCTGCGCTGGGTCCTGGCTCCGCCCCCTCCTCCGCCCCGCAACGAGTGGGAGCAAATGTTGCGCGTGCATTAGACCTCCCCATAGGAAAGCATTGAATCATCACACCTATGGGGAAAAATCTGACGCTGGAGGTCTTCATGCAGAGCGTGAGGACGTCCAGCATCAGATACCGGACCAAAAGTCCATTTCAATTCAGGAAGCCCTCTGAATTGGAGGGCAGACTTCCATAGTTTCTATGGAACTGCAAAGTTTAACATGGCAGCACTAAGTGCAAAAGGGACAGTACACCCAAACCACTTAAATTAGCTGAAGTGATCTGGGTGCCTACAGTGTCCCTTTAATACAACAAGAATGGAGAGCATGTAATAAGCAACTGAATTCTAGGTGGTAAAGGGACACTCTTCTCTCAAACTCTTTTTTTAAATCACTATTTAGTAGATATACCACCAATGAAAACATGCAGGGTTGAGGGGGGTTGGGGTGGCGGAATGGAGCAGGCCAGCCATTTGATATAAACGATTAAATATTTAACCAAAATTCTAACAGCCAGATTATTAAAAACATGTAACAGTACAAACAATGACAGTAAACGCTATGTAACAATAGTGGCATCATTATAGTAAAATAATAATTTAGTAACAAAATGAAAGAAGAAGTCCAGCTGAATATCTTCTGCATCTGTTTGCACATAGAGCATGTCCGCAAGATAAAGTACTTTATGGGTCTGGAGTGTCCCTTTTTTTCCTTTTAATGATTATGTTGTGTCCAATAATTATCCACAGCTGAATTAAATTAAAATCACTTGAATGATATATAGATGTAGAAATAAAACATTATTTATAAGTCCCTAAATAGTACATGGTTGTCGTGTTACATTCTTCAAACACCCTCCCCCCCCCCCATTTCACACATCTTCCCTGCTTTTTAGGTTTCCGAAACATTCCTGTATTTATTTTAAAGAGCTATGTATGGTTTTTAATCTCTCTAACATCCAGAACATGTTCTAATTCTGTCCTCAGATAAAGCTCTTGTTGAAGCGTAGACGTGTCATGTCCTCTGCCCGCCACCAATCCACATCTTCCTTATAGGAACAGCGCAGACCTGGACTACTTTTCTAGTCCCCAAGTCAAGATCCTTCCACCAGCGGAAGGAGAGTGTATCTCCACATGGAGCGTCTAGTCCCCATGGTTTGATTTAAAATAACGACAAACCCTTTGCCGAACCTGACCTCGCTGATAACTCCTACCACTTACTGTATTGTTCCTGGTTTCTGTGAAACTTTTAACCCCAACACCAACTGATTGCCAGCATATCATCGTTTTCATAGCCAGAATCCCAGATTACCCCAAAACGATCCCAGATTTCTTCAAAGAGCATCTTACCAAGTCAAGATGAGCTGGGTTTGGACTGGCAGGATTCCTGGGCTTGGTCTGAATATATCCGAGTGCTGATACTGCTTGGGTATAATCACCTGGGCTCCTGTCAGAAGCGAAATTCGGCAGGATAGATCATTATGTGGGATTAAATTGGCCACGTTGATTGGCTTCAGTCATTCTGTAATTAAAATGAATTATCCAGTAACTACGCTCATCCGGTTGAAAGGTTCTTGTGAGGAGCTCATGGATTCGGCATTCTTTTTCCAGGCATTAAAAATGTTGCCCATGAGTCCAGACAATAATCTCCCAGTGTGAAACCAGTTCATTAGTCTTTTGCAGGACCACAAAGTGACTGTCTGGATTAGAAAACTGATGTCACATTGGAAGTGAATAAATTCTGCACGTGCTGGGCAGCTCCTACATAACCTGCTTGACAGAGTGTAGGATTGATAAGAATCCTTCAGAACCCTTCACAGAGCTGGGACCGCCTTCTCCAGGGCACTAACGTTTCCTGCAACCCGCATCATGGCTGGGGTTATTTGGCAGACTGATTAAATTAAAATAAGCAATGCTCCAGAGTAATATAGAGATTACATTAAATGGAGGTAACGGGACACAGAACCCACCCATTAGTCAATCCAGCCCCATACAATATACAAAATACAGGCATTTTATTTGGGGATTTGTTTATCATTAAACAGTATATTGTGGAAAATTGACAGTAAAATTGCAAAATATATTCCAAAATTCCTCCGCTGTAAAAGTACCTGATTTAAGCAATTTTACCACTTTGCTCACTTTTACCTGACATTTGCAAATTGGTTAATTTTCTGTCAATTTTTTGACCTGTTCAGTAAATAAACAACTTTCCAACTCAAGACTTAGATAAGTAGATTAGCTGCATGTTTACTCAGAATCCCATCAATCACAGCCACTCCTATACAAGGAGGACACAGACCTCCCACCCCCTCCCCAGCATTTAAAAAATAAGCCAAGAACTGTCATTTAGACACTCGCAAAACTCTCAGTAATAAGCTACAATCACACCGACTGCCAAAATCCAGCTCGGCTGTACCAACTGTTTATTTTTTCTGAATATCTTGGTTTCAATGAAACCAGTCATTTGCCAAAGCTTGTAAAGAAGTGCCTGATGTACGGAATAAATGAAGAGATTGGCAAACTGTAACGCAGAATAGGAACTGGACTCCCAACAGCTGGCATTCCAGATATTAAGCAGGATTTCCGCTTCTTAGTCTGCTCTTTGCTTATTGGAGCCAGGTCCGTATTTAAGGGCCTCATCCAATAGTTTTATCATTTCTATGAAATAGCTGATTTTGGACCATATTGGTCTATGTTATCACAGTAGGAGTAAGTATGAGATATTGATCGACTCGATGCTCAACACTTTCACACAAATACAAAATAACATTGTTCAGATGTGTATGTTTAATAAGTGATACATTTCCCATGAACAAATCAGATAATCTGATTAAAGTGGAGATCGTAATATATGACCCAGTATTTTAGGCCTGATGACGTTCTTCACCAGTTTATCATTTTACTGCCTGTGACATGGAGAGACAGAGGTCTTGCTATTCCTGATAGGGTGACCTAACTCCCAACAAAAAAACCCATATAGAGCTTTATCTCTGGTGGTGGGACCTCTATGGATTTTCCAAAGTGTATTCTGGAAGTAGATAGCTTCACCCAGGAGGTGTAGTCCACCATCATTCCTCCATGCTACAGACATCAGAAGGGGTGGAGATAGTTTTGTTACAGTAAATGTGAAGATACACAGTCCTTGCGTATCCAGCGCCCATACAGTGCTACAAATCTCCATAACTATGTTTAGGAATCCTAAATTCTGCCTGGCACGGAGTCAAATTGTTTGACAGCAGTATGGTGTCCTTCCTGTTATTATGTGGATCATTTAAAAAAAATCTCCTAAATTGCCACAACACGCTCGTTAATGAACAGGCCAAGAAGTATCAATGTATTTCCCCAAACCGTTCATTAAATTTTAGTTTTGCTGTATTTTTACCAATTTATTGTTTACTGAACATTCTAGGGCAGTAAATGTTAATAGTGAATTAACATGGTAAATTTATTTTACACCAGGATTGTTTATTTAAAATTCTATTTAAACGGAGAAATGTCTAGTTTTCTGGTTTATTTATGTTGTCTAATTTATGTCTATTTTTAGTCATTTCAGTTCTATGAAAAATGTCTTCTTTGTGGGTCTAAGGTGCGGAGTGACCAACTAAGCGGTTTAAAAATACTTCAATAAATAATTTAAGCCAATGAAAGCTCGTTCTGCATCTAGTTTTCTTTTGTGTTTTTAAAATGTGACACATGCTCTGAGGGATTATTTTCATATACTTTATAAAGAGATCGCAGTTCAAATTATAAATATTTATATGTATTTATTTTGTCAGGCAGGATAATCGACATCTTCACGGTGTAAAACTACGCAATCATACTTAGAATCTCTGTAACACAATAGATGCGCTGCACCACCGTAACTTGACAACCTGTTTTTTGCTTGAAATTCTACACAATGTATCAGTTTAACTTTATTTGAGTTTACGCAATAAATAAATAACTAAAAACGCATGGGATGAGGACACAGATTTGGATGACATTGGAATGAGCCTATACTGCCATCTTGTGGGCAATTCGTACACTGCAGTATAATAGGTTATTGCTAGAATCTGAAGGATATCAAAAGTTGTAAAACCATTAGCCATTTGTACAAACCGCAAACACGTTTTTGCTTGTTATATGACTTTGTGCTCATTTACTATCTGATCGCTAAAATATTTTGCATATGTATGTGTCACAGATGGGAAACGTTTTGTGCAGTAAGATATACAATAAATTGAGTATATGGTCACAATTACGTACATTTAAACGGAAACGTGGGTGTATTTTTATTTATAAGGATTTTATCTATAAGGATCTATTCAGTATGATGTACATTCAGTTCAAAGTAACCACTATAGATGTGGGTTTGGGTTGTAAAAAAGTGTTTATTTAGAAATGTTCTATTTGCAGACCCAGTAAGCATTGAAATATTGAACTAGTGGACTAATTGCTGGAGAAATAAAAGCCATCAGAGCTGCCGCGAGGGTCATACTAAGTGTCCCGCGCCCCCATACTGAGTCTCATACACTGCAGCACGGGCTATATCTGGTTCATCGTAAATTCGGCTTGGCCCTTGGTATTCTGCCCTTGGCATCCCTTCCCTCTGGCTGGCCTGTAACGAGAGGGAAGAGTAAATGTTGGTTAAGTGTCATGTGACAAGTACAAGACAAGCATGGGATCAAATTGTGACAGATCATGTGACTCACCGTGGCTCCAAATGCCCACTTGGACCTGGGGACTTGTGGGTAATCCTGGCCGACCTCTTCATATTCGTGCGCATCAGACGACGCAATCCAGCCTTCATAGCCACCATCTATAATGAGATATTTTAAATAATAACATTGTTATAAAGATACCAGGTCCATAGGTCTCCACAGACCATCGTTTAAATTCTGACAACGTTCGCTGATCTGTTAATGCTGGTACTCCGGCTTACTATCGTAAGAAAGCCCATTTATATCTAAATATTGCATTACAGGATTTTTCTCTTTAATTTCTGAAAACTGAAAACCACAGTTAAGAAACCATTAAAAAAGTTAAATATTTTACGAAGTTCTCATTCATTCCTGTTGGATGTCATGTGGCACACAGCGCAGTAATAGGAAAATCCACTGTTGCCTTAGCAACAGGAAAAAAACATATTTCAAATAATTTTACAGCTTTATGTGTTTAAAACTACTGAGCGAGGAATAAACTGACAGATCTGTTTAATAATATTTGCTTAACACGATATAGTGCTTTTCCAAGTCAGACCACATTAACAGTGTAAATGTAATGCATAATATAATTTTAAATCACAGATTAGTAATCCGCATGATTAGGAGAGGCGGGCAGCCATTTCCAGTCAATAACTGATGGGATACTTAGCTTTCATTTTCACTTTCTTTTCTGCAACATGCATTTACAGAGCCATTAATATGAAGGGTTTAGAACACCGCAAGTGTTTTTTACCATCATTAACCCAATCTCTGCATACCTGGCCAGGTGTGGCCGCCTGCATCCTCAGGCTCCGCTGTCTCGTAGTGAGGGGGAAGCGTTGGCCAGTAGTCTCTTTCTGGGTAGTAATAAAGTCCAGAATCAGATGTACTCTCCTGCACAAACACAGAGCAGATTTACTAAGAATAAAAATATTATTATAATCAATAGGAATCAAACTGCAAGAGAGTAACCTCGTTATAAGGTGTATAGCTATGTCGGTTTTAGGGGTGCCTTGCCATGGGTGGTCTCAGAGAGAGGAAGGATGTAAAGTGAGCTAAAGGATATAAGATCAGCTCTCAATTCATCACAATTTACTGGTTAGTGATTAATTGGCTCCCATTTCTGTGTCCACTGGGGATGATGTGAATAGTAGTCAGATGGATGGCTGCAGATATGTTATGCTAGGTTATTCTTTTAGAATTTATTGAGGAAAACCTTTATAAGGAACAAGATTCAGAGGGAGCCGAAACATCTACATTTTTGTACTCCACAATACCAAAAGTCTACCTGCTGAAGAAACCTAGTTTTTGTTCCAATGGATTTGTCTGGGCTAGGGCCCTCCATGTTTTAAAGCACCCTAGTGGGAGTACTCCCTGAAAAAAATGTGTGTTCAAGGTCCTCTGAAAATTCCACAACACATTAGACCCCGTCCTACCTCACTGGCCTCACCTGATACACACTGGACCCCGTCCTACCTCACTGGCCTCACCTGATACACACTGGACCCCATTCCACCCCAGTGTTCTCACCTGATACACACTAGACCCTGTCCTACCTCACTGATCTCACCAGATACACACTAGACCCCATTCCACCACAGTGGTCTCACCAGATACACACTAGACCCCATTCCACCACAGTGATCTCACCAGATACACACTAGACCCCATCCCACCACAGTGGTCTCACCAGATACACATTAGACCCCATCCCAACACAGTGGTCTCACCTGATACACACTGGACCCCATTCCACCCCAGTGATCTCACCTGATACACACTAGACCCTGTCCTACCTCACTGATCTCACCAGATACACACTAGACCCCATTCAACCACAGTGATCTCACCTGATACACACTAGACCCTGTCCTACCTCACTGATCTCACCAGATACACACTAGACCCCATTCCACCACAGTGATCTCACCAGATACACACTAGACCCCATTCCACCACAGTGATCTCACCAGATACACACTAGACCCCATCCCAACACAGTGGTCTCACCTGATACACACTGGACCCCATTCCACCCCAGTGATCTCACCTGATACACACTAGACCCTGTCCTACCTCACTGATCTCACCAGATACACACTAGACCCCATTCAACCACAGTGATCTCACCTGATACACACTAGACCCCATCCCACCACAGTGGTCTCACCTGATACACACTAGACCCCATCCCACCACAGTGGTCTCACCTGATACATACTAGATCCCGTCTCCGATCCACTGTCTATCAGCAATGTCTTCTTTGCATGAGTGTTGATGAGCTCCCTGTCTCCATACTCATTTAGTGTGCTTTGTGCTGCTCTGAGGGGACAAACAGATTGTTAATAAAAAGAAATCTCTCTGTTATCTAATCACAACAATGTAAATAAGTGGAGAAATCAGGAACGAGATGGTGGTGTAACCCATCAGTGAACTGGAGAACGTATAGCAAATAATAATCTCCAGATAGACATTGGGTCCTAGAGAATCAGGGGTACATCGTATTATCCACTTACCCCTCTTCTTTCTTTTCTTCGTCTCCTGTAAGAAATAGACACACAGAATCATAGTGAGAGTTAATCACTGGATCAAGCAAAGTGTTCAGAGAGAACCATCCAATCTATGTCCAACGCATGGAGTAAACGCAGTATGAGAGCCGGTTATCACACGATTCCTCTCAAACAATGTAATGAGTCAAGAATGATTCCATTCCCATTAAAATGAATTCATGTCAAAGGCTTGAATCTGCTGGCTGCCACCAATAAAGTGGGAATACCAGAACTCCAGAAAAGGGAGCTTTGTTCTAACTGCTGTATTTCTCAAAGTAGGAAAATAAAAATGTTCGGAAAACGCTCTAAAACTTGTACATAAAGGTGTTAAGCCTTTGGCTTAATAAATCCCCCATGTGCTTGGAGACGTATTTTGTAATTACCTTTTTGTTTTTTCTGTCTGTATTTTTTTACCAGGCAACAGACAAGTCCTACGTTAGACATCAGAAGGGCCGCTGCGCCGACGCACACCGCCACTATAAGCATCGGCAACAAAGAGGGGGCTGGGAGAAAATGATATGTTATCACCTGCTAATTGTCTAAGAATCACACAATATTAAAAGGACCTAATTAATTACAAAGAATTCAACGTTAAGCGCAGTAAGGATTACTCATCAAACCTCTAACTATGAAGGTCATATCACTGTTTAATAAGCATTCCCCATGTGTTACCTTCTGGCAGTGCGACGGGGGGTGGGGCTGTGAGAATCACCACTCTGTGATCATCTGCAAGAGAATACATTGTATGTTATTTCAGGTTACAAACACTAAGAATGTGTGTTTCAGTTTTTTTCCGATAATTTTCAGAATGCCCCCCTAAATAGGGATTCATGCACTCACAACAGCAGCACGAATGGCCAATTAGTTTGTTCATTAATTTATCGAGCAATATTTGTTTTCGGATTAAATTAACAAAAAACAAATGTTTTGATTCAGCCTCAAAATAATACTCGTTTAATGAGCACATGCAATAGCAGGGATTCCTCCCTAGGGGGCGAAATTTCCCACTGCAGCATACAGTATCAACACGTCATACAGATAATCTCTGGACATGTTACATAAAACATGTAAACAAACTTCATTCCCAATAACATCCAGCCATAACCCCAACCCCCATCAATCTTTTTCTAACCATTTTATCATTTATAAAACATACACTAATTCATTTGTTATAACTTAATAGCAAGTAAAAGAAATTCATATTGTTATTCTGATCTTTATTGTCATTTATTTGATTTTCTTTTCCTCTGTAAATTTAATAAGAAAAACAGAATTCTAATAAAAAGTATAGAAAGTGTGCGATAAGACAGACACATACATACATACATACATACACAGACATATACATACGTTCGTACATACACAGAAACACACACACATACATACACACACACAGACATACATACATGCATGCACACACATACATACACAGACATACATACATGACATACATACATGCACACACACACATACATACACAGACATACATACATGCACACACACACATACATACTGACATTCTGACATACATACATACTGACATACTGAAATACATACACACACACACATACATACATACTGACATTCTGACATACATACATACTGACATACATACACACACACACATACATACATACTGACATACATACATACACACACACATACTGACATACATACTGACACACACACACATACATACATACATTCAAACGTGATCACCATAGAGACTGATCTAATTGCAAAAAGACACCATTGTTATAGGATGGATAGTGCAAGGCTATGATAGGGTTAATACAGAAACACAACGGCAGATTAAACAAAGCATTGCAGACATTTTTGTGAATAATTTTTTCATTTGTTGCTGCTTTGCTCCACTGATGTCATATTGTTTGTGATGTAATAGTATTTTTTACGGCAGGAAGGTGGTTCTCGTCTTTCGGCCTTTTTTCTGTATTTGGCGGACTTTTTATAAATGGATAATTCAGTGTAAATTGGCAGAATTTGGGAAGAGAAAAGCCAACACTTATTAGACCATATCGAGAACTATTTAATAAATAGGAACAGATCTGAGATAAAATAAAGAGATCTCTTTGGAGCACATTGTTGATAAATCTCCCCCTTGGAGTCTAGCTGGTCACCTTGCGTTGTGACGCTGATGATAGCCCCACTGTCCGCATAATCGCTGTCTCCTAGAACATTGACCGCATTCACAGAGAAGTTATAGGTCGTGTTCCCGCTCAGCCCCGTGATGGTGAAAACCGGAGCTTCGGGTGGGAATACATCAACGTACATGAAACTTCCGGCTCCCGGCCATCGGTACCTAAAAGAGACATTGTTACCTTCTCCACCAAACCCTGAGATAATGTTACAGAGTGCGTGAGAGACGCTTTAATGCCATTAGAGCATGGACTACCTCAGGTAACTCGTACTAATCAAACAATTCATAAATGTATAAAGACATTCAGTGTTAATGATTATTACTGAACAAATTATATACAAAACAAAAAAGGGACTTTTATATCAGGTAGAGGGATGTTGTGTAAATCGATACAGAGTAAGGTTATGTAATATGATATATCCATTGTACAGCGCTACGGAATCTGATGGCGCTATATAAATAATAAAATAATAAAAATAATATGGTGTAAGTTAATGCAGAGGGAGGTTGTGTAAGTTGATAAAAGGGAGGTTGTGTAAGTTGATACTGAGTGAGGTTGTGTAAATTGATACGGAGAGAGGTTGTGTTTGTTGATACAGAGAGATGTTTTTTGTAAGTTGATATGGAGTAAAGTTGTGTTTGTTAATAAAGAGAGAGGTTGTATAAGTTAATATGGAGTGAGATTGTGTAAGTTGATATGGAATGAGGTTGTGTAAATTGATATGGAGTGAGGTTGTGTAAGTTGACATGGAGTGAGGTTGTGTAAGTTGGCATGGAGTGAGGTTGTGTAAGTTGATATCAAATGAGGTTGTGTAAGTTGATACCAAGTGAGGTTGTGTAAGTTGATACCAAGTGAGGTTGTGTAAGTTAATACAGAGTGAGGTTCTGTAAGTTGACTTGGAGTGTGGTTGTGTACGTTGATACATAGTGAGGTTGTGTAAGTTGATACGGAGTGAGGTTGTGTAAGCTGATATGGAGTGAGGTTGTGTAAGTTGATACGGAGTGAGGTTGTGTAAGTTGACACAGAGTGGGGTTGTGTAAGTTGATACGGAGTGAGGTTGTGTAAGTTGAAATCGAGTGAGGTTGTGTAAGTTGATACGGAGTGAGGTTGTGTAAGTTGACATGGAGTGAGGTTGTGTAAGTTGATACGGAGTGACGTTGTGTAAGATGACATGGAGTGAGGTTGTGTAAGTTGACATGGAGAAAGGTTGTGTAAGTTGGCATGGAGTGAGGTCGTGTAAGTTGATATCAAATGAGGTTGTGTAAGTTGACACAGAGTGAGGTTGTGTAAGTTGACATGGAGTGAGGTTGTGTAAGTTGATATCGAGTGAGGTTGTGTAAGTTGACACGGAGTGAGGTTGTGTAAGTTGACATGGAGTGAGGTTGTGTAAGTTGATATCGAGTGAGGTTGTGTAAGTTGACATGGAGTGAGGTTGTGTAAGTTGATACAGAGTGAGGTTCTGTAAGTTGACTTGGAGTGTGGTTGTGTAAGTTGATACGTAGTGAGGTTGTGTAAGTTGATATGGGGTGAGGTTGTGTAAGCTGATATCGAGTGAGGTTGTGTAAGTTGATACAGAGTGAGGTTGTGTAAGTTGATACGGAGTGAGGTTGTGTAAGTTGATATCGAGTGAGGTTGTGTAAGTTGATACGGATTGAGGTTGCGTAAGATGACATGGAGTGAGGTTGCGTAAGTATACATGGAGTGAGGTTGTGTAAGCTGACATGGAGTGAGGTTGTGTAAGTTGATTCAGGAGTGACGTTGTGTAAGATGACATGGAGTGAGGTTGTGTAAGTTGACATGGAGAAAGGTTGTGTAAGTTGATACGGAGTGAGGTTGTGTAAGTTGATACGGAGTGAGGTTGTGTAAGATGACATGGAGTGAGGTTGTGTAAGTTGATACGGAGTGAGGCTCTGTTAGTTAATGGGATGTTAGTTTAATCCTAAACAAGTTGAGTGTAAAATCTGCTGCTCAGTATTAGTCTGTCTCAACATAGAACATAGAATGTGACGGTAGATAAGAACCATTTGGCCCATCTAGTATGAACATTGTGAGAGTTGCCCAATATATAAAGTAATAGCTCCAGCTCTACACGTTACATCCTCACCTGACTCGAAATTGCTGTTTCTCACCCCCGTCAAACCCAGCACTCCACCCGAGGGTCACAGAGTTATGTGTGAAGCTAAGGACTCTTAGACCAAAAGGGGGGTCTGGGCGACCTGCGGAGCAAGAGTACATGGGGGGACGTAAAAATGAGACAGCGAGCCCAACCTGTGTGTTATTTATGCACTAAACTGTGAACTGAACAGAACAACAACAAACTGTAAGATTTGGGCTAAAAGCTCGAAAAATAGATGATTTGATAAATTTCTGTTTTTATCAGTTTGGCCTCATTGTAATATTTTTGGACGAGCTGTTAAAACGATTTTATATGTTTTGATAAACTTTTAGATATTTTTTTTCCAAAATATAAAAATGACAAAAATATGTAAAAATATGTAAGTATATCAACTAATATTAAATCATTTCAACGTTTATTCAAAAATATTAAATTGAGGCCTTTATTACAGCTCCCTATTTATGAAATAAACAAAAAAAACCTTTTTGAGGCTTAATAATTCCACATAAACAAACCATTAAAAAACAAAGAAAGAGATTTCTCCAGGATGAGTTTGTGTAATTACAGCATCTTCTAAAGCGCTATATAACTGATCTATGCAAGTTAATAAATATATCTATTAATTGACAAAAATATTTTAGTAATACTTGTACTGAGAACATTATCCAGCTATGTAGTAATATTAAATTGTTGGAATATTCTCAATATCAATATTATAAAACAGACCCACGTGGGTACATTTAATAATTAACGCACAGCAAAGAACGATTTGTCTTATTTTAGATTATTTTCGAAGTAATCTGCAAGAATGCGATGTGTAATCTTGGTAAGGGGTAAATAAAAAGTTGACTTGTAAAATAACAATGATTTTCTTCAGGACATTTTCTATCTTTTCAAACTTTCATTGACGAATAATACAAATTGTTAAAATCTCTCTCCTACCAACATCGGTGGAATTTGTCATATTCCACCAGACAAGGGCTCGATGTGAGTTTTACATTTTAGGTTAAAAAATTGACCATTTGTATAAATCATGTACGTTTCCAGTTCCCATATTTTTTCCTAACATTTGAAATTTACTTTGAATTCCTAACAATCCCCATTTTAGTGAATAACCCGTAAAACGTTTATTGACCAGACAGTGAGCTGTACTCAAATGAAAACCAAAATGTGAATTTTACGACCGAATAGGGATCTGAAATCATTTTCCAACTCAGTGATGGTCACAGTTTGGGTGTTTTAGCCGAAGTTTTGTAATTTGTGAGTCATTTGACGAGACCGTAATTTGCTGCTTAGTATATTATTGACTGCTTAATGACTTTGCTATGTGTACTCACTAATTTTAATTTCAGGGAATGATTTAAATATTGTTAAAGACAATCCGGAACTTTTATCTTACTGGTGCTGACGAGCTGAATGGTGAAGCTGTCCACTCCGAGAGCGTTGGTCGCCGTGCACGTGAATAGAGCGTAATCATGGACGGCGCTGACATTAACAATGACAAGTGTGCTAGTGTGAATCCACGTTTCATGCAGCGTCTTCTCTGAATACCTGTATAAGCGGCAGGACAGAGCATAAAGAATGATTACAAGGGTCAACGCGTGCAGCAGCCAATCGGAGTGGACCGAAGTCACTTAAAATAGAGATTGTTATCTCTTCGTTTAATGGACAAGTAGAAGAAATATCTAAGGGTTGACATGACTCATAATTAACATACAGCTTCTTAAAGTGTGAACTGTGTCGATAAAACATCAAGTGAGACAGAGCTCTCCAAATAAAGAAATGAAGGCACTTACCGGGGGTTTTTGTAATCCAAAGTCACCCCATTTTTAGCCCAACTAAAAGCCACATTTGGGATCCCTTCAGCTTTGCACACAAGACCCACGGCGTTCTTCCCATCACCGGACACCGCTACTTTGCTCAGGTGCACCCCTTTCTGAATTTCTGGCTTAACTGCAGGGTAAGACAAACACAGGGAAAATATATTAAACGGAACAATTAAACTAAAATATCTTTAGCTCAGAGAATATTGACTCAACTCCGCGTGCACCAAGAAGAGAGCGTTTTTATATCATAAAATATTCATGTTGAATACAATGGGTCCATGTGGTTTATATAAATAATTATCTAATTACTTTTACAGAACTGAAATCGATTTCTGCTTCTCAAAATAGATGAATTTTAAATTGCTGCTATTTGAGAATAAATGTGCAAGACACAGGTAAAAAGACATATAAGGGTATAAAAATAACTGATTTAAAACTTGTTTCTCCTCATTTCGTGGAATAAATTTAGAATACAATTCCATTAGGAGCAGATATCAGCCAAATGTGGTAGTTTTGGGTTAAAACACAGATTTTAGAGAAACAAAATGGAACCATTAACACAGCAACTTCAGCTTTGTCTTAATTTTTTTTTTTTTCTGCAAATGTAATTGTTATAAAAACTGCCGGACACATCATGCACTTTAAAATACAAAGTAAAAGATTTTATAAATAACAGTAGATTTGTTTCGGGTCATCGTTCTTTATTTAAATAGTTAGTACATTGTTTCAGCAATTGTCTAAAAATAAAGTAACCTGCTACATATCTAGTCACTGTTTCAGGGTGTAAATATATTCAGAGCCGCGTCCATTTCTACAAATAACTGTGTAACCCCACACACAGAACACTGATGGAAATAAATGATCATTTGTAGAGCTGGGTTTTTATATATTTTATGTTCTTTAGTTTGGGTTTATGTTAATAGACGACACATACTGGCTTCCTGAGATTTGTAGGGGTTATCCTAGAGCTGCTGAGCTACACATAGGTGATAAATGTGAGCACATTGTAACATGCAAAAGCCTACAGTTACACCCAATTCTCCTGGCACCGGGGGTTTATAATGATATACAATGTGCGCAGGTTGGGCATGTTTTACACCAGTCTCTCTGGAGATTGTTTGAATCCAATAATTAAAATCTCATGTTCCGTTCAGCTAGTAAATGTTCCCTGCAGTCTATCTGTCTGCGTTAATGGCAATTGTGTAAGTTTTATACAGAAAATACAGCAGAGGGTCTCACGTACAGCGGACAATCAATCGTGCGACAGCCTTGATGGGCGGTGGGATTCCATTGTCCACCATACACTCGTAGCGCCCTGCATCAGACCTGTTTGCTTGGTGGATAATTAGACGCCCAGTTAGTCCGCTAACTTGATGTTCCTTATCAGACAGGGTCCTCTCGTCATCTCCCTGTAAAAAGATGAGGTCAGTAACATGAATAAGGTCTGATCTCTCTTAGATTATAAGTCCTGAGGCCAGTGCCAATAGCAGGTTTGGACAGGGGGAAGAAAGAACGCCACAGTTCTAGTAATTCTAGTTCATAGTAATAATTTCTGTCCATAGAGCCACTTACAGAGAGAACAGACCTCATGTATGGACAAGAAGGATACTTATCACAAACCTGGGGATTTCCGTTTGCCAACACCTCACCTCTTGTAGCCATTGGTGGCGTGACTGGGCCAGGTCATGGAGTAAAAGCCCAAACTGAGGCCCTTCCAATAATGCAGTGATGGCGCCCCAACTGTTCATGAGCGCCATTTCCCATAGTGCTCTACTAAGCTATGGGCAAGGCAGGGGAGGCTGGATTTTTGGTGGTTACCAGACAATAGGGATATTGTGGAGAGACAGGATTGGTTACTTGTTACTTTTCTCCTGGATAAGAGGATAATAGTCATTCTCTGAATATGCTATCACTGAATAAAACATTAAAAATCACCTAGAACTTGTGTTAACATTGTTTATGTTTCTCCTCCTCTCCTTACGCTCTCTCTCTATGCTGATAGCAAGGTGGAGAGGGCAGAGATTATAACAATGATGGACAGGGAGCTAAGATGGAGGTGGCTCTCTATTCTGACTGCCAGGTGTAAAGGGCAGAGCTTATAACAATGATTGACAGGGAGCTAAGATGTAGGTGGCTCTCTCTATACTGACTGCCAGGTGTAATGGGCGGAGCTTATAACAATGATTGACAGAGAGCTAAGATGGAGGTGGCTCTCTCTATACTGACTGACAGGTGTAAAGGGCGGAGCTTATAACAATGATTGACAGGGAGCTAAAATGGAGGTGGCTCTCTCTATACTGACTGACAGGTGTAAAGGGCGGAGCTTATAACAATGATTGACAGGGAGCTAAGATGGAGGCGGCTCTCTCTATACTGACTGCCAGGTGTAAAGGGCGGAGCTTATAACAATGATTGACAGGGAGCTAAGATGGAGGTGGCTCTCTCTATACTGACTGCCAGGTGTAAAGGGCGGAGCTTATAACAATGATTGACAGGGAGCTAAGATGGAGGCGGCTCTCTCTATACTGACTGCCAGGTGTAAAGGGCGGAGCTTATAACAATGATTGACAGGGAGCTAAGATGGAGGCGGCTCTCTCTATACTGACTGCCAGGTGTAAAGGGCGGGGCTTATAACAATGATTGACAGGGAGCTAAGATGGAGGCGGCTCTCTCTATACTGACTGCCAGGTGTAAAGGGCGGGGCTTATAACAATGATTGACAGGGAGCTAAGATGGAGGCGGCTCTCTCTATACTGACTGCCAGGTGTAAAGGGCGGAGCTTATAACAATGATTGACAGGGAGCTAAGATGGAGGTGGCTCTCTCTATACTGACTGCCAGGTGCAGAGGGCTGAGATAATGATAATGATTGACAGGGAGCTAAGATGGCGGCGCCCAGACCCAGTATACTGCTAATTACAGCTATGCAGATTTCTACATTAACATTTCTCTTCACCAACACATAATGTAAGAGATGAGTCAACATCCTATTAAATATCCTTTAACAACATAAACATTGACTGCAAAGTGAAAGGAATCAATTTTGATTGCACAATGTTAAAACAATGAGATCCAAACCAGCCATTTCCACTGAAACATTGTGTCCGTCACAGGATTGGCATCAGCCGTACAAACGATCTCCGCCGTCTCTCCTAGATCCACCTCTGTTGGGTCAGTGATACTGCGGATAGAAGGGGCATCTATGGAAGATGGAAGCAAGTTACTAAAGGTTTTATTATCTGATATGATCACCTAATCTATAATCAATAAACTAGCTGATCTGTGATAGGCTGACATTGACTGACAGCCAAGCTTCCTCTGGCAAGATATGAGACACGCCGAATGGTTTATTCACTAAACAATGACCCATAAACCAGATTTTATCATTGATACTAAAGATGTTGCTCTATTTTCATTCTGCCTTTTTGTAGCTCAAATACATATTTATACCACAACTTACCGTTTACTGAATTAACCTTGGTAGGTTTTTATGGTGGCCAATGGCTGGCTCCTGAGGGCCAATGGCTGGCTCCTGAGGGCCAATAGCTGGCTCCTGAGGGCCAATGGCTGAGTCATGGTAGCCAATGGCTGAGTCATGGTGGCCAATGGCTGACTCATGGTGGCCAATGGCTAGCTCTGTAATGCAGTTGTAGTCACAGTATTGATATATATTTAACTTTATGTATCCAATTCATTACAATTCTGTAGTGAATAAACTCGTACAAGTGGTGTTTTGTTATGACAGTACCCTGTTGTTATCACGGTATTACATCGATGTTCACTGTAAGTTCATTAATTGGGTGGCCACAGTCCCCAGGTGATAGGTGTTTTTTCATGATTTGACTGGGGATATAGCGTGTATCCCTCTACTATTTTGGGGATGATTATTGCGTGTTTTTCCAACATTGTGCCATTGAATAATCTTTGCACTTGTAACGCTCAAGCTTGTTGATGTTTATGCATTTGCGTTTAGATTTGATCTGGTCCTTAATAAGTTATTTGTATTACTTGTGTGTGTGTATTTTATATATTGCATTACAATAACGTTTATATATATTTTTATATTTATTAAATTAGTTGTGCTCCTATGTTATTATCCATGGCCAACGCATTTCACAGTACAGCCTCCTGTCTTACACAGCACGTCCAGCCACATGAGTGTGCTGCTGTTTCCTTCTTTATTCTCGCAGGTTACATTGTATTCCCCGGAGTCAGCCCGGCTCACGTTCCAAATCTCCAGGTTTCCGGCTCCCTGCAGGTGGTGTCTGTACGCTCCCTCTGCAAACACAGTATCTAAGTTAGAACACTCCCCGGTCCCTGTATTGTACCTACCATACCCTGCAAACAAGGTAAATCATCTTCCTGATCCAATAAAGTAAACACATGATTAATTAAATGGGCAAAAATGGTGTCTATATATTGTGCTTACTCTCCTCCAGGTGTTATAAGGTATTTTTAAGCAGAAATATTAGACTATTTCCCATGAAACTCATTATGCAAAAATGCAGTACACGAGCTAACTCTCCCCTCCCTGAAAAGTATTATTTATATGACGAATGTGACACTTGATGAGTAGGCGGTCAGGTACAGGAGGATGGATGCAGGCTGTGAGATGTAGTGAAACAAGAAGTGATTACTACAACCATCCTGAACCAATCTGGGAAACAATAACAGATAGTATGAAGAATTCTACAGTTTAAGGAATGTCCAAGCCAGGGATTCGTGTGTTTGGACCTTTACCAAAAGAAATTAACCTTTGACGGCCTTGCTGTGTTACAGCTAACTACGCAGCCTTCCTTCCCTCTCTGGCATGAGTGAAGCTTTGTGTAGTTGGGGTCCTGTCGATGACTTGTATATTTTGGGCAGTGCCAGCCTTCTATTTATTCTATCAATTTTATTAACAAAACCGTTTATTGTCTTTATTAAGTGAATTTACATTTTAGGCCAAAACAGACAAACCTTAAAAAAAAATCTCAGCTATACTTTTATCTCTGCTCTTTTGGTGTAAAATGTGCAATTTCATTTGAGTTTGTATAAATTCCCACTTGAGTTAACCGTGAGTAACCGTCCTTGATTTGAGTCAATTTCATCATACTGCTGTCATGCCCTCACCTCCAGTCAGTTTCCGTCCTCCGCGGCTCCACGTGTAGGTAGTCACAGCAGGATTGGCCCTGACGTTCACTGGGATTAGGGCCGCCCCATGCTCCACAGCTTGGACCACCTTGGGCTTATCATCTGGGAATTCCGGTGGAACTGGAAAAGGGATGAGATTGGTGTCAAAATCCCGCAAAATAAACTGGGAGTTAGGAGACCTTCTCTGCTACCATAACCTTTCTTGGTTGCCTTAAACTCAGCGTGTATTTGATGGTTTCCATATTCCACAGTCTACAACCTTCGATGGACTGTGACTGTTCATAACTGCATTTAATGTGCACCTTGGCCTTTGATCGGTGATGACTTGTCTCAGGATCAGGATTACTTGGTTTCTGGCTGGTATTTCACCCCTTTCACACAGTACAGACTGGCTTAGTTAAAGGATATCAAACATATTAAACCAAAATACGATACTCACACAGAATATTCAGTTTGTAAAAGGTGTTCACCCCCTCTCCTAGAATGCTGCTGTAGGCTTCACAGGCAATGCGCTTCTCATGGTCTATGGATAATGCTGTGAAAGTTATACGGCTGGAGGTAGACATCCCACCATATAAAGATGATTTTGTCCCCAAATCCTGGGCTTTTAACCTGCAGAAGGAGACAGTATTACCAGGCAGTTTTGGGTACATGCCAGCCTCGGAGATGGACATGGAGATCACGTACTGCTGTCCGTCCTTCATCCAGGAAATGGTTGCTCTAGGATTACTACTGCCAGTGACGCAGGTTAGAGTGATGGTGCTTCTACGCTTGAACTCCTTGGCATTGCTGGTGATTTTCACGTCTATCGGTGGGACTGTAAAAATAGACACATTGTTTTTTTAAAACCCTGAGATTTCTGGGGCCGGTGTTGTATTAGTGAGTGGATTACATTTAATCCCAGACCGAAATATGAGTAACCCTCCACTCTGCCCTGCCTGTACAGCACAATTATCATGAAATGCCACTCACACTGCACGTGTAACTTCGTCACCTCTTTCAGCACCACTTTGCTGTCATAACGCACGTCACAGCGATACGCGGCTTGATTGTCATTCGGAGCAGTGACGATAGTAATCTCTTTAGACACTATTTTCCCTGAAGGAACCACCACTGCATCACGCACGTTGCTATTGTCCTGGAATATAACAACAACGTTCCAACGCCAATAAAATATACGTTTCTTACAGATTCCAAAATAAAAAAAGTCAAGTACACGTCTTTAATCATAAATGCAATGCAATATTTTAATTAACTGTTCCTTTGCAATTTCATGTGTATTTCTTCTAAAAATAGTTGTGACTGGTTGACAAGGAAATAAAATGTTGAATGTACTGAGTGTATGTAGCATATTTTATATAGTGTATTAGTTGTATATAATATATTTTATATAGCGTAATGAGTGTATATAATGCACTGAGTTTATGGAGTACTGATTTTATAGAGTGCATGTTATTTATGTACTGTGTACTGCTACATATAGATCGACTGGGAAGCCCAGGTTTAATTCGAATCAGACCACCTTACTGACAATAAGGCATTATATCTCCCTTTATTATATAGAGTGTAAGGACCATTCACACCACTAAATGTACCCTTTCTATAATCGTAAAATATTGCAGAATACAAGGTCTGTCCTGAAAAAGTCCAGCCATTGTTAATATAACGAGAACGGTTTGTGCGACATCGATGTTACCTGCCAGTCAAGGAGAGTGGACGGAATGCACATGTGTGAACATTGATGACTTCACTGTACTTGTCAGTGCTAGACATCGTTGAGTGAGCATTTGTACTGTGTGGCCATCACATTTAAAATGACTGAGCGAGTAGAGCAACGAATCTGCATCAAAGTCTGCGTTAAGCTTGAACATTCCTCCACGGAAACTATTCGGGTGATTCAGAAGGCTTTCGGGGACGATGCAATGAGTGCAGCACAAATAAAGGTGTGGCACAAATGCTTCAAAGATGGTCGAGAATCTGTTGAAAGATTTGGTGCCTTTCGACTTCTGGCTTTTCCCAAAACTAAAATCACCTTTGAAAGGGAAGAGATTTCAGACTGTTGACGAGATTTAGGTAAATACAGCGAGGCAGCTGATGGCGATTCCAACAAAAGGCTTTTGAAGATTGTTTTAAACAGTGGAAGAGATGCTGGGAGAACAGTGCACGTTCCCAAGGTGCCTACGTTGAAGGGGACTGAGGTTACTTGTATCTTGTATCTTCTTCAATAAATGTCTCTATTTTTTATATTACATGGCTGGATACTTTCCGGACAAACCTTGTATATTGATGTTAATAGTAACAGTCTTTGAAAAAGTTCAGAGTACAAAGCAATTCATAAAGGAATAAGATTTAGAAAGTTAAAAATGATATTTAGTCTGCCTATCGAAAATCAAATTTACTACAATTTAGCCCTTTCCTATACTATAATAGAATAATCTTTTTAAGATAGTCAGCTTGTGGTTTGGTGCCCAAAAAACTAAAATAATACCTCAACTATCTTCAAGATATAATGCAGGAGGCAGAACTAGATACACAATCCTAAATGGGTTTGTTTATGGTCCTCTGCATGTCCCTTCACTTTGAGTATCCAGACAGATAAGAGGAAACATGTAGTATCTGACCTTGGTCCAGGTAAGTTGAGGCTTTGGGTTCCCACCACTGCAGTAACAGGTCAGCTTCACCGTAGCTCCTGCCCGAAAACGCTTGTCAGACGGAGGGGCATCTATCCAAAGTTTCTCTGGAGGATCTAACAGACAAAGGGGATAAGGAGCATTCATTCCATTTAAAAATGAATTTAAAATAAAGATGGTGTCATGGAATAGACTACACGTTTCTATGTTAAGTCAGCTTCCTTAAGGCATTCCATGGAGAAGACGGCTCAAAGTCGAAACACGTTATACATTCTGATGTCACCACACAATGAAGTCATCACACTCCTAGGTCTCTATGGCCTTTCGAGTCCACCATGTAGTAGTAGTAGGTAGCAAAATGTTTGGTTGTATAGGGAGAGGTATTAGCAGTAGAAAGAGGGAAGTGCTCATGCCATTGTACAGAACACTGGTGAGACCTCACTTGGAGTATTATACGCAGTACTGGAGACCCTATCTCCAGAAGGATATTGATACTTTAGAGAACTGGTTCATGGATTGCAGGATAAAACTTACAAGGAAAGGTTAAAGGAACTGAACATGCATAGCTTGCAGGAAAGACGAGACAGGGGGGTTTGATAGAAACATTTAAATACATAAAGGGAATCAACACAGTAAAGGAGGAGACTATATTTAAAAGAAGAAAAACTATCACAACAAGAGGACATAGTCTTAAATTAGAGGGACAAAGGTTTAAAAATAATATCCGGAATTATTACTTTACTGAGAGGGTAGTGGATGCATGGAATAGCCTTCCAGCTGAAGTGGTAGAGGTTAATTCAGTTTAAGCATGTGTGGAATAGGCATAAGGCTATCCTAGCTATAAGATAAGGCCAGGGACTAATGGAAGTATTTAGAAAATTGGGCAGACTAGATGGGCCGAATGGTTCTTATCTACCGTCACATTCTACGTTTCTATGTCATGGCCTTCGTGCCAATAGTATCAGAGAAAAAGGAATTATAAATTGATCGGGAGGCCAGGAATGGAATCCATTTGAAATTTGTTTGTGAACTAAGCCAGTATGTGTCCACCATGACTGTGTGTCAGTGCATAAGCCAATATTTTTATGCTTTATAAAAAGTGTGTTAATATATTGTGTTTCTCTTTATATCCAGTTCATTTTAAGAGATAAAGAGAAGAAGAAAGCTGAATTTGTTAACACATTACCGGTAATCTGACAATCTGCAATATGACCGCCATTATTACCCTCACAAGGAATTACAATTACTGCTACATAATGGTTTTCTTTAAATTTTACCAGTAATATTTATATTTGCTTATAGTGTGGAAAAGTAGTACACCACACCTTTTCCATGGGTTTGTTTTGTTTTATTTTAAGAGAGAGTACACTTGGAGTGTTTGTACTCCAATTTATGTAGGGGCGACGTGCTATTTATGTAGGGGCGACCTGTCCTATTTATGTAGGGGCGACCTGTGCTATTTATGTAGGGGCGACCTGTCCTATTTATGTAGGGGCGACCTGTGCTATTTATGTAGGGGCGACTTGCTATTTATGTAGGGGCGACATGTGCTATTTATGTAGGGGCGACTTGCTATTTATGTAGGGGCGACCTGTGCTATTTATGTAGGGGCGACCTGTGCTATTTATGTAGGGGCAACATGTGCTATTTATGTAGGGGCGACTTGCTATTTATGTAGGGGCGACATGTGCTATTTATGTAGGGGCGACCTGTGCTATTTATGTAGGTGCGACGTGCTATTTATGTAGGGGCGACCTGTGCTATTTATGTAGGGGCCACTTGCTATTTATGTAGGGGCGACCTGTGCTATTTATGTAGGGGCGACCTGTGCTATTTATGTAGGGGCGACTTGCTATTTATGTAGGGGCGACTTGCTATTTATGTAGGGGTGACCTGTGCTATTTATGTAGGGACGACCTGTGCTATTTATGTAGGGGCGACTTGCTATTTATGTAGGGGCGACCTGTGCTATTTATGTAGGGGCGACGTGCTATTTATGTAGGGGCGACATGTGCTATTTATGTAGGGGCGACATGTGCTATTTATGTAGGGGCGACGTGCTATTTATGTAGGGGCGACATGTGCTATTTATGTAGGGGCGACATGTGCTATTTATGTAGGGGCGACGTGCTATTTATGTAGGGGCGACGTGCTATTTATGTAGGGGCGACCTGTGCTATTTATGTAGGGGCGACCTGTGCTATTTATGTAGGGGCGACTTGCTATTTATGTAGGGGCGACTTGCTATTTATGTAGGGGCGATCTGTGCTATTTATGTAGGGACGACCTGTGCTATTTATGTAGGGGCGACGTGCTATTTATGTAGGGGCGACCTGTGCTATTTATGTAGGGGCGACGTGCTATTTATGTAGCGGCGACTTGCTATTTATGTAGGGGCGACCTGTGCTTGCTATTTATGTAGGAAGTGACCTGTGCTATTTATGTAGGGGCGACATGTGCTATTTATGTAGGGGCGACTTGCTATTTATGTAGGGGCGACCTGTGCTATTTATGTAGGGGCGACCTGTGCTATTTATGTAGGGGCGATTTATGTGGGGCCTTGCTATTTATGTAGGGGCGACTGTGCTATTTATGTAGGGGCGACTTGCTATTTATGTAGGGGCGACCTGTGCTATTTATGTAGGGGCGACGTGCTATTTATGTAGGGGCGACCTGTGCTATTTATGTAGGGGCGACTTGCTATTTATGTAGGGGCGACATGTGCTATTTATGTAGGGGCGACTTGCTATTTATGTAGGGGCGACATGTGCTATTTATGTAGGGGCGACTTGCTATTTATGTAGCGGCGACTTGCTATTTATGTAGGGGCGACCTGTGCTATTTATGTAGGGGCGACCTGTGATATTGATGTAGGGGCGACTTGCTATTTATGTAGGGGCGACATGTGCTACTTATGTAGGGGCGACATTTTCTGAATTACTTTTTTTCTAAATACAGATTTTTTTTCTATTTACTATAACAAGCTAACCCAGTGTTTAACAAACCGGTCCTCGTGGCGCCCCTACCAGGCCAGAATTTAGGGATTACCCAGCATTGTTTAAGGTGCTTCTCTGTTTTGGGTGTTGTTTTCTTTTCTAAAAACAACTTAGATACAACTGAGTAATCACTAAATCCTGGACTGGTAGGGCAGCCTTGATGACTGGTTTGGGAATCACTGAGCACCAGGTTGGGCATAACCTTTGCCCACAACTATATTTGTACATCTGACATTGGCATTAATTTTATATTTTTGGATAAGCGTTACAAATGATATCATATTTTTTCAATAAGCTTTTCAAATAGCTTTTTCAAACTAGTAACCTAATTAAAAAATATTTCATAAATAAAAAATAATCACAAAATTTTAAAATATTAAATATTTTGAAAAGTTTATAAAAATATGTTAAATCAAGGTCATAATTAACAGAAATCCTAAAACCTCCGAGCCCGTTTGGTGATCATTGCAGTTTGGCATTAATGACATTAAGAAATTGCGTTCCCTCACGTTGCACGCTAAGTGTGATCATTTTGGAGATGGTTTTTGGAATGGCTTCGTTGAAAGCCTCGCACGTTAACTGCATCCCGTCCTGTGCTTTATAAGCCAACTCCGTAATATTCGACATGGTCACTTTCCCCCCAAACGCTCCCTGTGTAGAAAAAGAGAATCATCACAGAGAGAACTGGTGTTTATTCTCTAAACTGCAAATTATAAAGAATTGACAAGTAAAGTACATATTTTAGGATAAAAAATTCCCAAAGTAATTTTTTCAATTCTACAGTTTTGGCCTAACATACGCACCCCTTGCTATGCTTTTACAATTCACAATTTAGTGAATATACCTCTACATTATTCAATAATCTCATACAGAAATATGCAAACTATAGTAATGAGAGATAACATATGTAACATGCAACATCTCATCGACAACCAAGTCTTTATAAAAAAGCTAGGAATCATGGTTTATATGGACTTTAAATGCACAACATTTAAACATAGCTGTGTGCTAACTAGCACTAATTAGTTCAAGTGAAATATACCCGTCAATACATAGAAACATAGAATGTGACGGCAGATAAGAACCATTCAGCCCATCTAGTCTGCCCAATTTTCTAAATACTTTCATTAGCCCCTAGCCTTATCTTATAGTTAGGATAGCCTTATGCCTATCCCACACATGCTTAAACTCCTTTACTGTATTTTGGCGGCTACCATTAAAATATTATTGTTGACTCCTTTGGTCACACGAACAGAGAATAGAATTGATCAGCCCCAAACAAAATAAGAATGTGCTAAAATAATAAAAATACATTTGTAACTTTTATTTTTTGCTGTTAAATAACAAGTCAATACTTCCATGCAGGATATGGACAATTGGAAATACTGATGGTTCTAAGATATATTTATTCTTAGGACCAGGGCTGATGGAGCTGCAGCTCTAAATTCATGTCCATGAAATAGGACCATTGATTTAAAAAATATATATATCTTTTTTTTACTACTCTTCACATGCTCTTACTTAAGTATGGAAACTTAAGAGGGATGTAGGGGAACAAAACTTGTGTGGACTGGCTGACAATCAAATTAGTTATGGTAAAGCTGACTTTGCGCACTATGTAAATGCTTGTGCTGCTTTGGTCTCTGTAACACTGTGGCATGTTCTCTTTCTTCTACACTCACAACATCCACCTTTTCTCTGTCCCAGACTGTATAACAGGAGCTTCTGCCTGCTAGTAAGAAGATTAGGTCAGGAGTGGACCAGCACGTGCTAGGCAGGGCCGGACTGGCCCACCGGAATACCGGGAAATTTCCCGGACTGACAGCCCTAATCATCAGACTCATGTCATTTAAATATTTTCATCTTGGACTGTGCCCAAGGGGAATAAAGAGGGAGCAGCTGGGGGCTAGTGTGACTGCAATTAGGCTGCTAGCGGCCAGAGGGAGATCTGTCAGCCTCCCAGCACAATTTACAACAATTTTGTCCACATGCCCCGTCATTGACAGACATGTACACTCATTGACAGACACACGTTCTCATATACATGACAATCAATGACATACACAAACACTCACTGATTTGACACACACTATTACTCAGACACACACTGACAGGCGCACACACTGACAGACACAGACACACTCACTGACAGACACACACTCACTCACAAACACACACACACACACACTTACAGACACACACACTTACTCACAGACACACTTACAGACACACACACTCACTCACAGACACACACACATATACACTCACAGAAACACACACATTCACTCACAGACATACACACACATTTCCCCCAACACCCAACAAATTATTATTATTATTTTGTTATTTTAATTTAAATCCACCCAGCCTCCCTGGGAGAGCTGGAGTGGATTACTTATCTGCGGCCCAGTGGGGCAGCTGCGCAGGCAGGTAGTGGGCGGACAGGCAGAGTAGGCGGCGAAGAAGCTCTAATCTTCCTGCCCAGTCCCTTGTGCGCCACTTATTGATGCCGGGAGCCGACTTCATTAAGCTGCGCGCAAGGGAGTTAAGCAGGAAGAGCTCAGGTGAGCATGCTCCCTTTCTGCCCGCCGCGATAGAAGCTACCGTCCACCACAGGAGTGGGGCTCAAAAGTCACCAGCCGGCCAGCTCTTGTGCCCCCCTAGGACACGAGGCAAACAAGCGAGCCGCCTGGGAGTTTGGGGGCAGCTTTTTTTTGCCGCCCTCTGCAAAATACCACCCAAGGCAAATGCCTTGTTTGCCTTGTGTAAGATATATCGTTGTGTGTGTGCCTGCTAGTGAGAGAGCTTGTGTGTGTGTGTGTGCCTGCTAGTGAGAGGGTTTATGTGTGTGTGTGTGGGCCTGCTGGTGATAGAGCTTTTTTGTGTGTGCCTGCTAGTGATAGAGCTTGTGTGAGTCTGCTAGTGAGTGAGCTTGTGTGTGTGTGTCTGCTAGTGAGTGAGCATGTGTGTGTGTGGCTGCTAGTGAGTGAGCTTGTATGTGTATGTCAGTGAGCTTTTCTGTAGTGAGCATGTGTGTGTCAGTGAGCATGTTTGTGTGTGTGTGTGTTAGTGAGCTTGTCTGTAGTAAGCTTGTGCATGTCAGAGTTTGTCTGTACTACGTTTGTGTGTATACCAATAAGCTTGTATGTGTGTGTCAGTGAGATTGTCTGTCAGTGAGCCTATTTGTGTGCATCAGTGAGCTTGTGTTTTTATGTTAATGAGCTGATGTATATCAGTGAGATTGTTTGTCTATGAGGCTGTGTACCAATGAGCTTGTGTGTGTCAGTGAGATTGTCTGTGCCTGCATGTGAGTATGCTTACTGTATAATTAAATGTTTTACTCTGAAAGGACCAATATTATATATTAGAAAAAGAAATATAAGATATTGGTCCTTTCAGAGTAAAACCTATAATATATATAATATGTAAAAGTAAAACATTTAATATAATATGTAAGGAGATATGTATGTATATATTTATATACATAGTCTTACATATTACATGTGACAATATATGGCGCAATGACTTATGAGGCTGGCATCGTTTTTTCTTCTCCAGGGCTGCTTCGTATCCCTAGTCCTGCCCCCTTTTTGGGTCTGTTCGTCCCTTTCGGCAGTTCTGGTTACGTGATCAGTGGCCCATCTTTTTACCTCCCCATTGATTTCCTACATCACTGGACACTGCTGTTAGGGGGTATGGATTTACTGTCATTGAAAGATGATTGTACAGCACTACAGAACTTGCTGGCTTATATAAATAGTAACATAATAATAATAATAATGAAAGTGAGAGATTAGCATAGGGCATGTGTTTTATGATAGCTATATATTCTGTTAGTTTACCTCCAGCACCAGCTCCATCAGATACACGACGCTTGGGAGGATTTTTTCCCCAATAAGATTCTGTAATTAGGCCCATCATAATTGTCAGCACCAGGCCCACTACGCTCTAAATCTTAGGACCATCACTATTTTGCCTGGGTAGGCTACTGCAGGAAGACACTCACATCATTTACAGCGACCACAGTCTCTGGAAGTTCTTTAGAGCCCAGCCACCAGCGGATCTGTGCCGGGGGATTACTAGGAGTCGTATAACATGACAAGGACAAGGATGCGTTTTCCTTCACAGATGTAGATCCAAGGATGGTGACATCGGTAGGAGGAACTAATATTGGGGGGAAAAAAACATTAAATGGGCACATCAGCCTGGAGACGAGATTAGCGGTATTGCATGAAAAGAAAAAAGTTTTTTTTGCTTTATTTACTAAGCAGCGAGTCGCAATGAAATGATTAATTAACTGAAAAATATTTCAGGTCAGGCTGAACGAGAGACATTTTACAACTCTGCTATTTTGGAAGAAATAAATTATTTATTACAATAAATGTAGATAATAAATATGTATGTTCATGATTGCGTTTTTCAGATTAAATAAATGTAGCTTCTATTGTTTTTTTTTAACCACATTGACTCACAACAGTCCATATATATTGTGATAAATTCGAGCAGAATTGAACTAATTACCTAATTAAACAATGAAGAAACCATTTTATAGGCAGGGATATTATAGATTTTTTTAGCCTTAAATCATGGCCTCCTAACTTGGTTTTTATAGTTATCGCCTGAAACTGTGGCCTTCTCGCAGGCTTTCATAGAGAAAACATTACATCTTATTCTGTTTTGGCCACTTGGGTGCCAAACATTTTAAATAATACAGTGTAAAACACACACACACAAAAAAAATCACATCATCTTGTAACCGCTATAACACTTTCATGGGGACACTCACACAAAACATTGAGGGTGATACTTGCTCTTAGCGCCATTGGGGTTACATGATTTATGGCTTCGCAGCTCACGACGGCCATGTTGTCCTCAGGCTTGATGGTGAGGGAGAGGGGACTTCGTGATGACTGTGTACGCACATCGGAATCCCACCGTGTGGACAGCACCTCCTCGTTCTGTGGTCATAATAAAAATCTGTCAGTATCAGCCTAGATATGTTCTTTTTTTTAATAACTAAATTAGCTTATCCTTTACATATAAACAAAATCAGCCTGAAAACCCCAAAGTAAATAATGCTTGTCTGGCATGATGTGCCACAATGTATAAATAAATTCATTCCCCCCATACAAATATGTAATTTTTATGGGGGGAAAAGTAAGTTTTAAAAAAAATCATAAAAGATATTTCACCCATAAAAGCACATATATATATGCAGGGCTTAAAATTTCAAGTCGTATACTAGTAGCTGGGCTTTAAAATGCAAGCCTGGACAGCTGAAGTGAAAATTTTGATGCCTGCGTCGATATATGTGTATTGGTAAAAGGAAGGCATGTGATCCTAGCGTTTGTTATAATGGTGGTAGAAGTGGGATATCAAACAAGAACAGGACGTCTAATGGCTGGAGACTTACCTTTAACCACTGCAAAGTCGCCAAGGGATTCCCACTCTGAGAAACACAAACCAAATTTAAAGTTGTCTCGGATTTAACTGTAGGGCCAGTATAGCCTTCAATGACGGGGACATTGGGAGGAACTACAGGAAAGGTATGATAGAACAGCAAATTAAACAGGGGAGACGCTCATGCTGTGTGCACATGAGCAGTATCTATACATGTTTCGACATGCAGCATTATTGACTTGTAAAGCTATACAGGTTTTTTATTTAATTCTTACACAATACATTCATGGTGAAGCTCACAGAGAGAGGGGCCGCAAGAGCTGGATTTTGGGCTGAGCAAGTCAGCAGTTTCCCATTATCGGAGCCCTGAGGGATCACCCTAAAAAACAGGAGGTAACGGTCACAAAATATAAACACTGAGATATTTACTAAACAGTGATAAGATAGTGAGGGTATCTGTGTTTTTCCTTTTCTAATGATATAATAATAATATAGTAATTTTGGGCTAATGAATAGACCCGGACCAATTAGTGAGTTTTTCATTAAGTTTTGAACCACTCAGCCATCAAACTCTCCAATATTTGACCCCTTAGTATACCACAGTAAGAGGTTTATTTACTAAGCTGAGAATTGGGAACAATTTACAAGGGAAGTACAAATTCTAGGTCAACGTTGCTGACTAGAATATAGGTGAGTTTTAGAATTATGTTCAGTTAGGTTCTGTCAGATACCAAAAATTTTCAGATTTCCTAAAATAATCAGATCTCATAAAATGATCAAATCTCCTAAAATATCAGGTCTCCCGAAATTATCAGATCTCCTAAAATGATCAGATCTCATAAAATTATTAGATCTCCTAAAATTATCATATCTCCTGAATTTAGTAGAACTCCTGAAATGTCCAGATCTCCACAAGGACCTTGAGACCATATTTCCATCACTCACTTTGCTGAGATCTCTGTGTTTTCCAGTCGGTCTTTGGACCCAGGACTGTTGGACGACTCTGCGAGAACTTCCACTCCACCTGCATTGGAAAAAGAACACTTAGTGAGCATCCTTGCTCTCCGGGCATTCAGTGGAAGGAACCAGGCGTAACTCCTCATACTGCTGACCTTTCAATGTTTTCACCATCAGCGACACTTACTTTTGGTGATGGTTATTGTTGCTGCTGGTTTGGCATCTTGGGTGCGGCATCCTACAGGGTATTCCACCCCAAAAACCCAGGTCACGGTGCTGCCTGAGACGTGTTCCAAGAACTGAGGTGCCTGAGGGGGGACTAGAGGTAGGAAAGGGGTAAATGGGGAAGTTAAAATGGGGAAAGAGAAAGTTAAACAATGGAAATTAGCAGAAATTGTCCAGAAGTCACGATATGTAATATACACAATGGCTTCATGGCTGTGAAAATGGAATAACAGTAACATTAATATAGTGGATAATGGCTTTAATTACTGTCACTGATTGTCTGAGGGTGATATGTGTTCCAGTCCAACAGCCATTGGGTCTTCACTCAATGCTGGTTGTCAGGTCACAGACAGGGTACCCTCTTCCTCTTATATTAGTCTGTGTATACTACACTGACTGGGTTTCTCCAATTGTACAGCACTGTAGTGAGCGGAGAGTACACTCAGAAAAGAGAGGCCAGACTCAGTGAATGGAGGGCACACTCAGTGTGTTGAGACTATATTTATTAGATAGGAAGTATACTCAGTAAGTAGAGGGCACACTCTACTACAGGTCAGTCTCATGGGTGGGGAGGACACACTCTGTGAGTGGAGTACACATACTCAGGACGTTGAGGAGGGCTGTGATAGAGATGATCCCCTGGCTGACCTCTGACCTCCCAACCTGACAGTGATACTCGGTGTCGTCTGACAGCTCACAGCGTTCGATGCGCAGGTTGTAGTCTCCTGTAGAGTCAAAGAACAGGATTAGTTATACATTGTAACTGGGGGCTCATTAATGCTAATAATGAAAGATGAAACATCACCGAGATGGTCTGAAATATTCCTGGACCTTAACCTGTGACCTCATGGGGTGCATCTAACAGATTATTAAAGGCAGGATAAATCAACATTTTACCCCAGAATGTTGTTATTGTATAGTGAATGTTACTGTCTTCAAACAAGGTAGGTACATCTAACAGAACCAGGAGGTACTGCGTATCTAACAGAACCAGGAGGTACCGTGTATCTAACAGAACCAGGAGGTACTGCGTATCTAACAGAACCAGGAGGTACTGTGTATCTAACAGAACCAGGAGGTACTGCGTATCTAACAGAACCAGGAGGTACTGTGTAGCTGACAGAACCAGGAGGTACTGCGTATCTAACAGAACCAGGAGGTACTGTGTATCTGTCAGAACCAGGAGGTACTGCGTATCTAACAGAACCAGGAGGTACTGTGTATCTGACAGAACCAGGAGGTACTGCGTATCTAACAGAACCAGGAGGTACTGTGTATCTAACAGAACAAGGAGGTACTGTGTATCTAACAGAACCAGGAGGTACTGTGTATCTGTCAGAACCAGGAGGTACTTCCGAAGTGTTATTTGAGAAATGATTGGAATTCCATTAAAAACAATGATTTCATAATTATGTGGCGGAGAACATTCCCACCTAAAATCTTGATATTAAAACAGACATGGCACCTTTCTGGGGATCCCCAGTCATACTGTAACGAGGGAATCCAGGTATGTTCCGGTCCGGTCCAAGCAGAAGTCCATCTTTCACCCATTGCACAATGCCAGATGCATGTTCTACCTCGCAGCGCAGTATCGCCGTGGACCCCTGAACCACAGTGACATTATCCGGCTGCACGCGGAATGCTTGCTGTGCCGTCAGGACACCTAAAAAGAAATAAACTCAGCAGCTATACTCCCATCACTCTCAGATAGACAGCAGAAGGGCTCTACTCTTATGCAGGATTACTTTACTCCTACAAGTATCCATTAAAATATGATTGGACCCAGCTATCTCCTCTCACTGGCGCAACAGGACCCAGTGCTGCAGACACGATTGTCCAACATGATAAAACAGCCATTGAATGGAATTAGTGATTGAACAACAGACAAATTGCTGCTGTACCGAGGACTGGCTGAGACACTATCAGTTATACTTATTACTTCCATACAATCCCCACAAGGACGGCAAATTCCCACCTTTTACGAAGATCCACAAACAACAGGTGAGGGTGATGAGCAAGGAATCCATGTTTCACAAAGTGTACAGGCAGACAGTGTGATAATCCTAAAAAATATTTTTCACATATAAATTCCCAATTAATGTATTAACAGCTCATTATTTCAATGTTAATTAGTGAAACTGGAAAACAGACACCAATAAAGGGGAGAAAAGGAACAAGCGAAAATAGTGATAGGAGAGGAAGGAATGAAGGAAACAGAGATAGGAGAGGGGGTAATGAAGGAGACAGAGACAGGAGAGGAAGGAATGAAGGAAACAGAGATAGGAGAGGGGGTAATGAAGGAGACAGAGATAGGAGAGGGAGTAATGAAGGAGACAGAGATAGGAGAGGGGGTAATGAAGGAGACAGAGATAGGAGTGAAAGGAATGGAAGGTAAGAACGGTAGGAGAGGAAGAAGTGAAGGAAACAGAGAAAGGAGAGAGAGGAATGGAGGAAAGAGAGATAGGAGAGGAACGAACAGAGGGATGAAAGGTAGGAGAGCAACGAATGGATGAAATTGAGATAGGAGAGGAAGGAAGGAAGGAAACAGAGATAGGAGAGGGAGAAATGGAGGAAAGAGAGATAGGAAAGTAAAGAATGGAGGAAACAGAGATAGGAACGGAAGGAATGAATAAAACAGAGATAGGAGAGGAAGGAGTGGAGGAAACAGAGATAGCAGATTAAGGAATAGAGGAAATAGAGATAGGAAATGGATGAAACAGAGATAGAAGAGGAATGAAGGAAACAGAGATAGAAGAGGAAGGAATGGAGGAAACAAAGATTGGAGAGGGAGGAATGTAGGATACTAGGAAAAGAGGGACAGGATTACTTAAGGAAATGAATAGAGGAAATGGCAGTAAATGTTGGTGCTTTATAATAAAATAATTGTAATAGTAAGACACATGGAAAATGAGAGGAAAGGAGTAGGATACACAAGAATCGTGGAGGCTATCAGTTAGATGAATGAAAAACACTGAATGTGTAGGAATGAAGGAAAGGGATTTATTATATGATAGAGATACAGGAATAAAGGAAAGGGATTTATTATACGATAGAGATACAGGAATGAAGGAAAGGGATTTATTATACGATAGAGATACAGGAATAAAGGAAAGGGATTTATTATACGATAGAGATACAGGAATAAAGGAAAGGGATTTATTATACGATAGAGATACAGGAATAAAGGAAAGGGATTTATTATACGATAGAGATACAGGAATGAAGGAAAGGGATTTATTATACGATAGAGATACAGGAATGAAGGAAAGAGATATGTGGCAATAAAGTGAGATATTTCTAACCTTGAATCAATAGAGAAACCTGTAGAATCCTTTCTTGTAGTTGGTTAATGGCTTTGGCCCTGTTGGACAGATGTATTAATGTCTCTTGCTCTGTTTCGATGACGTCCCCATATTAGCAGCTTCCTTTCTCTCTTGTCATTTATTGTGTGAGTGTAATTATAACCTCACTCACTCTCACTTCTATCCGTCACTCAGAGCCAATCTTCCCACTCAAAGACTATTCCTGTCTCCCAGCTCTTACATTCCGTATGTCTCTCATATCTACCCCTTCTCTCTTACATACCCTTTATTCTCTATTATCTACCCCTTCTCTCTTACATACCCTTTTTTCTCTATTATCTACCCCTTCTCTCTTACATACCCTTTTTTCTCTATTATCTACCCCTTCTCTTTAGTCCTCTCAGTCTCTTATTTCAGTGGGTATTACAGATACTCTCTTGCTCTCTTTATCACACTTTCTTCCTCTCCTTGTCTCTCTCTCTCTCTGTCTTTAGGCATCTATCTCCCACTCTCTCTCTCTCACTCCCACTCTCTCTATCTATCTCTTACACTCTCCAAGATCTCATGCAGTGTTCCCTCTCTCGCTCTCTGTCTCTTTCTCTCTGTCTCTCTCTGCCTGTCTCTCGTTCTCTTCACTCTCTCTGTCTCTCTCTCTCAGTCTCTCCACCTTTCCAGTGTCACAGCCTGATTTCTCCCACCCTCTGCTGTGTGGTGGGAGTCAGTACTCAGCACTTACTTACATTGCAGAATCATTTTGATTAGTAATATCCTGTGACAGGGGACACAGCTAAACTCACAAACATCCCCCACACACCATATTATCACACTCACTAACAAAGCACTATTAAATGTCCTAAATCTTAAACCTTTACAAAATCTAGTGAAATATTTAATAGGGGGTGATATCGCCGTTCCATGTCACTTTAAGAATTACTAGGGGGTATGACAATTAATAGGGGTTAATATCGCCCATTGAATGTCACTATAAAAATTGATAGGGCGTGTGACAATTAATAGGGGATGATATCGCCCATTACATTTCACTATCAGAATTAGTAGGGGGTGTAAGGATTAAGAGGGGGTGATGAAAGCACTTGTTACATTTAATTGTAAGCATTAATAGGGAGGGTAACAATTAATAGGAGGTGACATTGCCCATTACATTTTACTATATGAAGTAGGGGGTGATATCGCCCGTTTCATGTCACTATAAGAATTAATAGGGGGTGTGACAATTAATAGGGGGTGATATCACCCGTTTTAATAAGGGGTGTAACAATTAATGGGGGGTCATATCGCCCGTTCCATGTCACTGTAAGAATTAATAGGGGGTGTGACAATTAATGGGGGGTCATATCGCCCGTTCCATGTCACTATAAGAATTAATAAGGGGTGTAACAATTAATAGGGGGTGATATCGCCCGTTCCATGTCACTATAAGAATTAATAGGGGATGTGACAATTAATAGGGGGTGATATCGCCCGTTCCATGTTACTATAAGAATTAATAGGGGGTGTGACAATTAATAGGGGGTTATATCGCCCGTTCCATGTCACTGTAAGAATTAATAGGGGGTGTGACAATTAATGGGGGGTGATATCGCACATTCCATGTCACTATAAGAATTAATAGGGGGTGTGACAATTAATAGGGGGTGATATTGCCTGTTTCATGTCACTATAAGAATTAATAGGGGGTGTGACAATTAATAGGGGGTGATATTGCCTGTTTCATGTCACTATAAGAATTAATAAGGGGTGTAACAATTAATAGTGGGTGATATCGCACATTCCATGTCACTATAAGAATTAATAGGGGGTGTGACAATTAATAGGGGGTGATATTGCCTGTTTCATGTCACTATAAGAATTAATAGGGGGTGTGACAATTAATAGGGGGTGATATCGCCCGTTCCATGTCACTATAAGAATTAATAGGGGGTGTGACAATTAATAGGGGGTGATATTGCCTGTTTCATGTCACTATAAGAATTAATAGGAGGTGTGACAATTAATAGGGGGTGATATCGCACATTCCATGTCACTATAAGAATTAATAGGGGGTGTGACAATTAATAGGGGGTGATATTGCCTGTTTCATGTCACTATAAGAATTAATAAGGGGTGTAACAATTAATAGGGGGTGATATCGCCCGTTCCATGTCACTATAAGAATTAATAGGAGGTGTGACAATTAATAGGGGGTGATATCGCCCATCCCATGTCATTATAAGAATTAATAGGGGGTGTGACAATTAATAGGGGGTGATAGCGCCCGTTCCATGTCACTATAAGAATTAATAGGGGGTGTGACAATTAATAGGGGGTGATATCGTCCGTTCCATGTCACTATAAGAATTAATAGGAGGTGTGACAATTAATAGGGGGTGATATCGTCCGTTCCATGTCACTATAAGAATTAATAGGAGGTGTGACAATCAATAGGGGGTGATATTGGCCGTTACACTTTACAAATTGCTCTATTTAGGCTAAACAGCCGAACAGGCACTATAGCTGGGTGTTTTCTGAAATAGCAGCTGCTGTCTAATGTTTACAATTGAGTTTAACGTTTGTTACAATCCAGTGTTAGTGAATAAACCCTCTAAGTTCTCAGGAATTCAAAGTGAATTTAACATTTTAGACCAGAAGTAGCCAAACTGAAAACATTGTTTTTTAAATTAAATATTGTTGCCTAAAATTTGTCAAACTGTTGACTTAAATCGGATCCACCAGATGGCGTTCCCGGTCTCTCCAGCTCTCCGGAGCAAAGTCATGCAGTGTTTATCGAAGAGCATCCTGTAGTGGTTATGGTGATTGGAGTGTTACTTAAAGAAATTCAAAAGAGAAAAGTACACGGCTATAAATATACTGTGAAGGATCACAGCTCAAGTATTTGTCTCACTGACGGAAGGCTGAGTGATCTATTCATACTATCGATATTATACTATTTATGTGTTTATTCATTAACTGTAAATCGTGAAGAATTGACAAGTGAAATAAGATATTTTACTCCATAGTCGCCATCAGTGATCGTAGTTTGCAAAGAGTGGGACGTTCTTTCTTGGTGAGACTCTCTTTAATTTGAAGATTAGTCATTTTGCTAATTTCTTACTGTGAGTGTTAGTAGGGAGGAATGTGAAAAGCACAATCCATTATTCACAAACTGACACTTCACTCAGAATAACAAGCTCCCCCCATACAGCTGGTCGTACAGGAGGAGGCACCAATCAAACAGTAATTATACCAAACGTGGGAAACGCCTGACTTCACGCACTCTGAAATGTCAGCATCGGGAAAACGGCGAAACCGTCTGTCGCACAACATGGGGGAATACCTGAGTCTCCAACACATAAACACTGCTTCATAACGTTTATTAATAATACATAAATACAAAACAAAATCAATCAAAAAGGGGTTTACTGATCAAACTGTGAATGTCGATAAATTGGAAATCAAATTCTAAAAATTGAGGTCAAAATAACCAAGTTTGGGATACAGGTGAAAGCGAGAATTCTTTTTCCAAATCATGTTTTGACCCAAATGTTGCTGATGTACTGAATGGCCATGCTATTATTATACAATATCGCCAGCAGAGGGAGCTAAATACATTGGACAGATTATTTTCCATGTGAATGACTCCCTTGATAACAGCTGATAAGACTGATCACTAGGGGGCAGCACTGTTTTGGGCTTTGGGGTTTATTTGCTAAACAGTAAATTGTCATGAACTGACATTTTGTTTAGATCGCAAACTTTGGGCTGAAATTGCTGTGACTATAGACACAATGAAAATGTATTCTGAATCAGCCCTCGTGGCCAACGGTTTGCAATATAACTCGCTATATAGGGGGCAGACCATGAGTTCTGTACAATCTGTGTACCGTTTACATCTCTTCCTCTGATCTGTTTGTCATTTTTAGCTATTTACTTATAGCTACATAGAGTCCCGATTTAGGAAGGACAGTCCCTATATTAGACCCAAATCACTCTGTCTCTCTTTTTCCAGTAATGTGTCTTTACACTACAATAAATGTGTTTGGAAATCAGTCTGTAAATAAGATACATTGTTGTTGTTATAAATTACATTTTAGTTCTATAAATTATTAGTAAGTCACCTTTGAGAACAGCCCCTACTCACACTTAGCACAGCCCCACCCCTGACCACACCCCACTTACACCTTGAATAGCCCCACCCCTGACCACACCCCCACTTACACCCTGAATAGCTCCACCGCTGACCACACCCCCACTTACACCCAGAATAGCCCCACCCCTGACCACACCCCCACTTACACCCTGAATAGCCCCCACCCCTGGCCACACCCCCACTTACACCCTGAATAGAAGCTCCACCCCTGACCACACCCCCACTTGCACACCCTGGAAAAGCCCCACCCCTGACCACGCACCCCACTTACACCCCTGAATAGCTCCACCCCTGACCACACCCCACTTACCACACCTGAATAGCCACCCTGCTCCACCTGAACTCGACCTACCTTACACCCCCACTTACACCCTGAATAGCTCCACCCCCACACCCCCACTTACACCCTAAGATAGCTCACCCCTGACCACACCCCACTTACGCCCTGAATAGCCCACCCCTGACCACACCCCCACTTACACCCTGAAAGCCCACCCCTGTCCCCCCCCCACACCACCCTGAATAGCTCCACCCCTGACCACACCCCACTTACACCCTGGAATCTACACCCTGAATGGCCCCCCCTGACCACCCCCACTTACACCCTGAATAGCTCCACCTTGGACCACACCCCCACTTGCACCCTGAATGGCTCCACCTGACCACACCCCCACTTACACCCTGCCCCACCCTGACTCACCCCTGACCAGCCCCCACTTACACCCTGAATACTCTGCCTCACCCCTGGAATAGCCCACACCACTTACACCCTGAATAGCTCCACCCCCTGACCACACCCCCTACTTGACACCCTGAATAGCTCCACCCCTGGACCCCCTACACCCTGAATAGCCACCCTGACCACACCCCCACTTACACCCTGAAAAGCCCCACCCCTGACCACACCCCCACTTACACCCTGAATAGCTCCACCCCTGACCACACCCCCACTTACACCCTGAATAGCCTCACCCCTGGTAACGCCCCCACTTACACCCAGAATAGCCCCACCCCTGGTAACGCCCCCCACTCACACCTAGAATAGCCCCACCCCTGACCACACCCCCACTTACACCCTGAACTGCCCCGTCCCTGGCAATACCCCCACTCCCACCCAGAATAGCCCCTACCCTTCCCATAATAGCCTCACCCGTGGGAATGCCCTCACGGCCTGTTCCACCACTTCATGCAGGGCAAGGTTATAGAGGTCGAGCCCAACCTCTATCAAGTGCACCCCGACCCACCGAAAAAGATTGGCAGCATCCCCCTGAAAAACACTATGGTGAACAGCAATCCCCCAAACACCCAAAAGAAACCTAGAAACCCTCCTGTTCAGTTTTCAACGCTCCATGGCACTCTGATTCTGAGCGCCCTGCCCGAAATTATGGACGATATCCTCGGACCAAACCAGGCGTATATCTGGGAATAAAAATCAAATGTGTGCCATGTCCTGTTTAACGGCCGACACTAAGTCCCACATGGGCACCAAACCCAGGTCATTTCCCCCCAGATGGATGACAAGGACACTGG